GGAATTCCTTGTTTTCAACTTCTTCATCAGGTAATCCAACAGCCCCATCCTTCACCAAGTTGTTAGGTTCCTGGCTAATTGGATTAAATAAACAAACTGATGCAATCCAAAAGCTCCATCCTTAACCAACTTGTAAATTTAGGTAATTTTTCTCATTATCTATAGTTGAAATAAAAACTAACAAGCTGATGTGCCTTTTCTACAGTAAGGACAATTGGATATGGCTTGATCATGAAGCAAAACGTCATAGAACCGTGATAGGAAACTTTCTTAAACATTGAAAGCTTTTTATTTGACGTCTTTGGTACAGGATCAAGTGTGTCATCCAGTCAATTGAACGGTCATTAAAAGGTCTGATAAGGTGCCTGATTGGCGAAGCACTGCCATTCAGTCATCTTTCAGTAACCTTTCAGCGATCTTTCAATAAACTTTCCGTCACTTTTCAGTTTGTTTTCTCCCGTTTGAGCTCTTTAAACTATCGGAAAAATGTTAATGTCCTTCATGAGAGTTGTATGACTTTAGAAAATATTAATTTTGCTTCGTATGCATTTCTTACTTGTTTTTGACTGCATTTTATTAAAATACACACAGGACCCTCTGAATGAACGCTGTTCCGTGAGAACGTCACATTTTAATGACGTGATCCTGAAAGAGTTTAGCCGTTGTTTTTGCTTTTTAGAAAGTAAGTACTCGGCCACATAAAATGAAGTTACACCCCCAGGTAATAGTATAATATTTATACTTCCTATATTTCATGAATTTTGAAAACAATCAGAATATCTCAATATTATAATTGATTCAACATTGTTTGAAAACTTAAGGTGTCATGTGCTCCCCAATCCTGACCCATTCCGAGAGTAGTATTTCATTTCAATTATCAAAAATTTAACTTAACATTGTAACATGCAGATGAGAAATTCATCAGCAAAATTTTTTAGTGCTGTCACTGCTGTGTAATGATATTAATCTATTAAAGAGTGATTGACCGCGTTCTTCTTGGACAACCCTCGTGCATACAAGTACAGAACCAACAAAACGCTAGTTTTCAAGTCACATCGAAATATTTTAAAAAATAATTTGGAAGTTTCAAAAGTTTTTATTTTCTTATCCATGGAATCACGGACAGGACTACTCAAGGTAGAGCGATAGCTCGACGACCCGACGACAGCAAGGTACAATGACGATGTAGCGATGACACGACGTTTGCAATCGCTTTATCGTAACATAGCATCATCGTCATACCACTATCCCACCGTAGTTTTATTTCGTCATCGTCTCCACACAATTGTGTCATCGCACCATCGAGCCAATAGTAGATGAACGGTAATGAGGTACATGTAAGTGGCCCTATCCGGATTCTTTAATTATTCATCTATGAAAAACTATGTTATTTCATTCCCAACCAAATTGTTTGGATGGTATACATATGCATGTACAAATATCTTTCACCCTTTTCATTCACTAAATGGGATAATATCAGTTCTGTCCATCGAAGAGATAAGATTGTTCGTTGCATAACTTAATTTAACTCCTGCGAAAGGTATTTCAAATGAATTTGCTATTTCGTCAGGAAATTTCAAGAATTTATCCTAGACAATTCTGATTACATTGTGTTTGGAAGAGGGATGAAATTTGTGCTATTTTTCATTTTAACTTCTGTAGTAACTTCAGCAGACGAAAAGACTTTCAACTTTTATCAAACCCTTCCCCCCATCCAACCCCCACCCGCCACACAGCATAGATATCGGATATATTAATTGTTGGTACAGTTGTCTTTTAGTCTCTCTCAAATTTTTGTCTGGATCATAACTTGGAGACCTTTGTTTGAATAAGTTTGAACTGCCATACAAATGCTGGATAATGAAATTAACATAAAGGTGAATAACATTTAACATGTTTTGCATCAAAACAAGAGTTATTATCACTGGATTGGAATGGAAAAAAATTCCTATGAAAAAATATTTAGGTCTTCTTAGCTTTTATTTCACCTAAGGTCCATCTTACACTTTAGAAGAGTTTCGATGAGGTGCCTTAGTAATAAAAACACATAGAGATAGTTAACAATACCCTTAATTTCAAGCCTTCTAGGACAAGAACTGTAGTTATAATATATAGTTTACATACTTTTATCGTATAAATTTGAAACTAACATAAGGATAGGATCTTAAAATAAGATTCAATTCAAAAATACCTATTTTTCACTTCATATGCGGATACAATTTAGTGATTCAGTACATTAATTAAAAGTACATTAAATCCACTTTGTATACACAAAGTTCTATATCTGTATAGAATCTATATACTAGACTAGTTTACCTGAAAAAAGTTTCTTACCATTGATTCTGTTGCCATGCTTCTTAGAAACTCAAAAGTTTTATGTTATCTTCGATCCCTTATATAGATATTTATTGATTGATTTTTGACAATAATAAACGCACGGTATTTCAAATGAAATGTCTAATCAGCAATCGAGTTGCAAGAGGAAGTAGTAAGGTGACGACGTTATGTATGACCATAAGCATGTACACTAACAGTTTATGAACATATATTTTTTTAACATGTCAGTTTCATATTTCATTTACGTATAATGAATAATAAAGATAACTTATTTTATATATATATATATATATATATATATATATATATATATATATATATATATATATAGCACTAAAAAACCAACAACACAACACATCCTAAATGTCGGATCTACTAAATAGATACAAGGCTGGAAATTAATATACAGCACTAAAAATGACCAACGACACGAACAATAAAAAACGGCAAATTTTTCCTGTCCCTTACTCGGGACATAGCACGGTTAAAAAGTCATAAAAAACCAAAACAAATGAAAGCAAAATCATCTAGCACTACAACTTCTCTACTAAACCCTTTTTATTTACACGTTTACATTTTGAATTTTGTCGTTAAAAACAAATTTACATAAACGACATATATGTGATATGTGTCAAATATATAATATGTTCATCTTAAAGGATCATAGATAGTTTTGAAGCTGGTATCAATCAAAGTGTTCGGTAGAATTTTATGTCTTGCGAGAGAGTGTCATACCGATATACAATCATAAATGCATGTTCAGAACTATCTTAACTGAAAATTATCAAAACTGCGAATTTCTGGTGTATTTGATTGACATACTTCCTTGCACTTTCACGTACCAAAAATTTATTGGAGATCTGGCGTATTTAATTATTTATGAAAGATATGAAAACCGTATTGAAGAAAAGTCAGAATACAGAGGCTCTAACCGTTGCGCCACGCGGGCTACTGTTTTTGGATATATGTAAAAAGTTTTATGTGCGTTCAATTTCTTAACCTAAAGTAATGTTTGAAATAAAAAGAAAAATTCAAAATTGTAAACAAAACGGCAATGAACCTTAAAAGTAGAATTAAAATTTAACTGCAAGAGAAAACTTGGTTTAATGCTGGATGCGGAGGAAAGTTCAGTTCATTTATTATAAAGCAGGGGGTAAAATATACAAATATACAAATAAAAGGGGACTTGGGAGAGATAACAGAAATCGTGTACCGAAGGTGCACTAGATCAAATTGTGTAGCATGTGCAAAATATTAAATCAATTCTCACCTTATCCATGCAGATAAATTGAGATTTATCAATTTTGCTGACGTGCAAGCCTTAAACGTGTCTCTGAGTAGAGAAAAGATAACGGTGAAGACTTTTTTGCATACGAAACTTACAATATAGATTATTCAGTTTGTACAGGCTTAAATTTAAATTTCAGCTTTATTGATGTAGTATACGTAGTAATATTTGGTTTGTGTAACAAACAAACATGCACTTCATGCCTTTCTAAACTGTCTCTCTCAATGCTCTTTCATCTTACAAAAGACAACCTCGCAGCTCGTTTTTATTTCATATTGTTCTGCAATGCTTGCAAATGACCAAAAGTCATTGTATTGAAAATCATCAAAAATTGATGAAAAAAATCAAAATAATCATCCCATACAGAAATGCTTAGGAGTCCTGTATGAGCCATGCATGCATATACGGCACCCCGAAGTCCAAATTATTGATGATATTGTAATAAACGAAACTATAGAAAGCAAAGAAGCATTTCTATTATTTTCCAAAGGTATAACAGAATTAATGCACATTTTAATGAATTCTTTCTTTCTCTGCAAATATTTACCTAAATGTATCCATAAACTCGAACATGTGAGTATGTTATGTGCGTAGGTATTAAAAAAAAAGGTGTCTTGTTGGCGGAAGGGCAAGCAGGTAGATACAGTGTACATGTAAGACGGTATGAGACACTGAAAGAAAATATTTTTGCTGCACCTGATTAGTTTTGTGTTTTGGCTACCGTGGAATTTATGACTTAATACATAAACACTGTTAAGAATATGCACAATTTTTATAAATATTGCTGAGAAACAGTTACGAGAAAAATTATGATCTTATTTATTGCTAATAACACTCCTGGCTACAATAGTCATCAACAATGTATGAAGTGACATTTCTTGCAATAATATCACTTGTCAAGCTTTTTTTAGACAATTTATCATATAGCAATTAAAGGAAACTGAAGAACTAAAATGCAATATAAGCATAAAAAAATCATGCCATTTTCTCTGTTTGCCTGAATACCGTTTGTTTTTATCCTAAATATATATGATCAATTTTTAATTAGAAAATTCATAATTGGTACTTTTAATTCGCTTTTACCAAAAAAATGAGATTTTATAATTTTCCTTATACACAAGTTTTTCCCGCAATTACGTCAGAATTGCTAAGCGTAGGCATTTCTAGTCACATGACACATCCGCCATTACAACATTGAAAACCGTGAATGCTATAATATGTTTAACTATAATGATGAACTTTGAAGAAATACCATGGGTAAATCCACATTATTTCATAAAATCAGAGTCATTTTCTTTTAGTATTTTTTAATTTTCTGATTTTCAGAACCTGAGGCTCAGACTATCGTAATGAGTAATTTCTATTACGGAGCAAGATGTATCTAGATATCAAAAAAGACTTGTGGGAAGAAGACGGGTTCGATCATAGAATCAAATTGATAGCCCAGCAGCAAGTAGATGGAGAGGATGAGCTTCAGCAGCTGAGACAAGAGAACAGATCGCTTAGAGAAGACGTCAACATGTTGAAATCCATAGTGATTAATCTGGAGAGAACAGTAATTAAAAGTCAGAATGAAATCATTGATCTCAAATCGAGATCAATGAAACAAAATATTTTAATTCATAATCTCCCTGAAGAGGATGGCGAAAATCTATTTGTTAAAATCCCAGAGCTTATCAAGACGCATTTTAAAGTAGATACATCTTTCGCAAATATTCACAGAAACGGTCCAAAAATACAAGGGAAGCCAAGAACCATCACTGGGCGACTCAACAAATTTACGGATAAGGACTTGATCCTGCAGGCACAGAGGGAGAACAAAAATCAACGTACAGAACAAGCAGAGGAAATCGACCAGAATTCTTCCTTGCAACACAATTCAACATTCTTCATCACGCCACAAACTCCAATTGAATTGTCAGAAAATCGAAAGAAACTATTAGAATTAAACAACAAATACTGGAAAGCTAACGTTAAGACACGCATTGTGGGAGAGAAACTTGTATTCCCAAATGGAAGTATACATAGAGATAAAGTACAGAAACCAAAAGCAGAACAAATCCTAGGAATGGATCAAGCAGAAAGAGAGGCGCTTAAGAAGATTAAAGTGACAGAGTTGGAAACAAATGAAGGAGGGAACATCTTCCGAGGGATGGGGGCAGCAACGGAGTGCTATAACCAAGTGCGCGACATGTACAAGAAAACATTCTGTGATCAATCCAATGCCAAAGCTGATCACAACATACTTGTTTACAGATTTCGAGATTCAAGCGAACAGACTCACGAGGGATACAACGATGATGGTGAGTTCGGCGCAGGGCGTAGATTAGTCAAAATAATGCAGAACTTACAAGTCACAAATATGACGGTTGTTATATCGCGCTTTCAAGTGAAGCACATCGGCGGTCGTCGATTTGAAATTCTGGAAAATCTTCTGACTGACGTGGTTCTTCGACACACTAGTCATTGAGTGTGTATATGATCTGCATATAGACTCTGTATTTTCTTATTAAATTATAACTGTAATCAGTTAAATCGCTTCAAATCATGTAGTACTGCGAACATGTATATATGTATGTGTTGTTTGCTTAAATAATTAACTATTCAGAATTTTCAACCACAAACTCATATTTTATGGAGTTACACTTTATTGCTTGTTATTTTACTTTGATATGAGATAATTATGTACTCCCCCCCCCCCCCTCCATGTTTTAAATTGTTATTCATAGAATAGTTCATTGTTAGGCAGTGATATTAACGGTACACTGCATTATTCATACTCTTTTTTCACTGACAAGATAGACATGCTTTATTATGCTCTGTCAGATGCTTGTAATGCGTTATTTTTTTAACTATCGGAATTTTTTCCGGATAATGTTAACCCTCTTGAATAGGTTTTTATCTTTTACAACACAAAAGTAAACTTCCGATTTAGACTAAGAAAGGAAGACTATAGCTTTTTTTTGGTCTTCTATCACCTCTTCAAGGTATGTTCTTTGTTACCTTTTGTAAATATTTTCACTTTCGTTTTTTTGTTCCTTTTCTCATGATACCTGGCTCTGTAACACAATGTATTAGTTTGTCACACAGTTGTAGCATTGCAGTAACATCACATGTAGAATATTTTTTTCAATTTTGATGTCGTTTGAATTATCGTGTATCTCACTTAATGTTAGAGGGCTCGGCTCAAAAATTAAAAGACTTGGTATTTTTACGTGGCTAAAAAATTCCTGTAAGAATAGTTTTATATATTTACAAGAAACACATTCAGTCTTAGAAAATGAAAGTCAGTGGTCAAAGGATTGGGGTTCTGATATAGAATTCAGCCATGGTGAATCAAATAGTAGGGGAGTAGCAATTCTTTTTCCCCATAATATAGATTATGTTATTAAAGACAAAAGACAAGATAATGAAGGTAGAATTTTACAAATCAATTTGATGATAGATGAAACCAATTTTATCTTAACAAATATTTATGCTCCAACAAAGGATAAGCCAAACTGCCAGGTGGAGTTCTTTAATTTGTTATTGACTTACATAGAACCACATAGCTATGAAAATCTTATCATTGGGGGAGACTTTAATATTACTTTAAATCCACTACAAGATAAAAAAGGCGGTACTACAGAAGGAAAATCCAACTATAGAGACAATATTCTAGCTGCTTTAGAAGATCTTAATTTAACCGATATATGGAGAGAACAAAACCCAGATAAAAATTATTACACATATACATGTAAAAACCCTTTAATTTTATCAAGAATAGATTTTTTTATAATTCCTTGTTTTCTCTCTCCTCATGCAAAGTCAAATATAAAACCTGCTATTAAATCAGATCATAGTGTTATATCTTTAACACTTAAAGGGGAAGTCCATCATAATAGAGGCCCTGGGTTTTGGAAATTTAATTCGTCACTATTAGGAGATGAGGAATTTGTGAAGAAAACAAAAGAACTCATCAACTGTTTAAAAGAGAAGTATGTAGGTTTAGATGACCACCAGTTAAAATGGGACACAGTTAAATGTGAACTTAGAGGATTTATTATTAAATATTCAAAATTAAAAGCTAGAAAAAGTAGACAGGAAGAAGAAACATTGTTGAAAGAATTAGATAAACAAAATGAAATACTATCAGCTGTTCCATCTGAAGAAAATATGACTTTATTAAATGAAATAAAAGAAAAAACTAAATGCATTAACAGACTTAAAAACAAGGGGCATTATATTGAGATCTCAAGCAAAATGGTGTGAAGAGGGAGAAAAATCTACAAAATACTTTTTGTCTTTAGAAAAAAGAAATTACAGAAATAAGTGTATAAATAAGTTAGTAGTTAATGACAAAATTATATGTGATAAAAATGAAATCCTCAAGGAAGAAGAAAGTTTCTTTGAAAATCTCTACTCAACTAATTTAGATAAAAACAATTATCAAAAACATATAAGTTATTTTGTAGACTGTGAAAATATTCCAAAACTTACTAAAAAAGATTCTGCAACATGTGAAGGTTTAATTAGTAAAGATGAATGTGAAAATATCTTAAAAGAATTTAAATTAAATAAATCTCCAGGAAGTGATGGACATCAATTTGAATTTTATAAGTACTTTTGGCCTGAAATAGCAGACTTAGTGGTAAATAGTTTAAATGAAAGCATTCATAAATTATCTCTTTCTTCAGATCAAAGAAAAGGAATCATTACTCTTGTACCTAAAAAAGACAAAGATCGAACTTTATTAAAGAATTGGAGACCAATTTCTTTACTGAATTTTGATTATAAAATATTAGCAAAAGTTCTCGCAAGAAGAATTAAAAAACTTCTACCTTATATAGTCGATACTGATCAAACAGGTTACATTGAAAATAGATATATAGGAGAAAATATAAGAACTATTGCAGATCTTATTGATTACACAAGTTTAAAAAATATTCCTGGACTTATTTTATTAGTTGATTTTGAAAAAGCTTTTGATACAGTTGAATGGATATATTTAGATAAAGTATTAGAAACTTTTGGATTCGGTACAGAGTTACGGCAATGGGTACGTATCCTATACTCAGGCATTACAAGTTGTTTAATTAATAACGGGTATTCCTCCTCCTTTTTCAAGATTTCTCGAGGCGTTAGACAAGGATGTCCTTTATCACCTTATCTATTTATCTTATGTGTTGAATTAATGGCTATTGCAATAAGATTAAATAAAAGTATTCACGGTATAAGAATTGGTGAAACAGAATTTAAAATCACTCAGTTAGCAGATGACACGACTTGTTTCTTAAGTGATGAAAAATCAGGATTTGAAGTATTGAGAATCATCCAAAATTTTAAATACTGCTCTGGTTTAAAGATCAATCTAAATAAAACAGAAGCCATATGGATTGGTAGTTGTAGGAATTTTCCTCCAGGAAGTTTACCAGTGAAATGGTCCAATGGTTTATTTTTTACACTTGGAATCTGGTTTAGTGTACATGGCGAACATGACTGTTTAGTTAAAAATTTCAATTCCAAATTAGATGACATTAAAGCAGCTCTCAACCTTTGGAAAATGAGGCACCTATCTCTGATAGGAAGGACTCTAATTACAAAAACACTAGCAATTCCAAAAATTATTTATCAAGCAACTGTATTACCCATTTCCAATGAGATTATAAAAGAAATTAACAAATTATTAACATCTTTTATATGGAATAGTGAAAAACCAAAAGTTAAATCAACTGTAGCATGTCAAAAAATAAACAAAGTTGGACTTAAAGTTCCAAACTTTGAGTATCAGGTTAAGTCACTTAGACTAAACTGGATAAAGAGAATGTATTGTTTTAACAATAACCCACCAAAATGGTTCTTGATTTTTCAAGCTTATTTAGAAGATATAGATTTACAAACTCTACTTCAATCCAAATGCTGTATAGATATATTAAACATTTATATACCAAAATTTTATATGGATATTTTGAATTGTTGGAACGAATTTAGAACTAATGATAATGTTTGTATTGAACCTAAAATATTTAAGGAAATTTTATGGTTTAATGATAAAATAAAGATAAACAATTTATCCATCTTCTGGGAAAAATGGTACAAATGTGGGATACTTTTTGTAAGTGACATTATTGGTGAAAACAAAGACTTTTTAAGTCATGAAGATATTGTCAAGCGCTATGGAATAAATGTTTCTTTCCTAGATTATATGTCTTTACGAATGGCAATACCACACAAATGGAGAAAATTAGTAAGAGAAAAGCAAAAACCTGATTTTAATAGAAATACATTAACTCTTTCTATAGATGATAAGATATGTCCTATTTCAAAAATGCAATGCAAAGACTATTACTGGACTATGATAGAACACTTGATTGAGCAACCAACTTGTATCAGAAAATGGGAAACAACATTTGATAGGAGTATTACAGAATCAGATATGAAGAATATCTTTACCATTTCCTTTTCATGCAATAGTGAAACTTATTTGCAATCTTTTAATTATAAATTAATTCATAGATTTATAGCACATGGAAAACTATTATATAACATGGGTGTAAACAAATCACCATTATGCAAATCATGTAAGGAAATTGATACAATAGAACATAGGTTTTATTTTTGTGAAAATACTAAAGCATTTTGGAATGACTTTTTAAACTGGTGGAATAGTTTGAATTTATGTTTTATCCAAGATATTTCATGTCAAAATGTGATATTTGGAATTTGTACAAGTACTTATAACAAACCTCTGAATTACTGTTTACTGCTAGCAAAATACTATGTTTATAAGATTAGAAATGCACAAGAGAGTTGTGAATGTAATTTGAATTTTACTGTTTTTAGAAAAATGCTAAGGGAAAAACTATATATCAAAAAATTTCTATATTGTAGTAATAGAAAATTAGAAGATTTTTACAATGAATGGCAAAAATTATTAGAGAATTTGGAAAACTGATTTAAAGTATTTTTATACATGATCAAGCCCAAAAACATATTCAATTATTAGACTTTTTTATTATATAAGATAATTTTAAGTAATAATTATTATATATTCTTTCTGCAATGTTACATGTTTGTATTTTATCTTAATTTGTAAAATGTAAGAGCCAATAAAAAAAAAAAAAAAAAAAAAAAAAAAGATGTATCTAGATTTCAGTACAATATCCTCGATTCTTTACTTACATGTTAATTTTAAGTTATTTTGTATATTTTTAAAAGTAACCAGTTTACAGTTTTAATATAATAAAATTTTACTTCGCTATATAAATGTCTGCACTAATGCAGGCATATTTTTTTTCTTTCTAATTTTAATCCTTTTCATGAAAGCCAAACACGTTATTAATATGCAGATCAATTTTAAAGGAGTACAAGTGTAATTTCTTGAATGGCACCTCTTACAAAAGAGAACTAGTTATAATTGTAACGGGGACCGTTACAGATGTTCCCCAAACGCTCCCCAACTCCCTTTTGGTGTCTTATTTCCTGTAAGCTTCATTAAATAAGGCAATGAAGTATATTGGTCATTTTTTGCATTTCACGCGCGCGCACGTGCATGCATGTGCATGCATGTGCAGGATGACCATGGCATCCCGTCTATACTATATATGCATCTTTATATTCTCAGTATCAAAATATTTCATCAAAAAATATATAAGTTCCGGCTAAATCAAGCTAAATCAAGCATATTGGTCATCTTAGCATTGCGCGCACGCACACCTGCATGCATGTTCATAATGACCATGCCATTTTGTCTACACTTATAATATGTCTGTTTATTCTTAGTATCAAAGCTTTTCATAAAAAAAAATATAAAAGTTACGGCTATATTAAGTATATTGGTCATTTAACACATTGCACGCGCGCGCATGTGCATGCATGTGCATGATGGCCAAATCATCTTGTCAACACTTTTAATATATCTACATATTCTTAATATCAAAGCTTTTCATCAAAAAATATAAAAATTATGGCTATTTTAAGTATATTAGTCATTTAACACATTGCACGAGCGCGCACATGCATGCATATGCATGCATGTGCATGATGACCATGTCATCTTGTCTACACTTTCTATATATATAAATATTTTGAGTATCAAAGCATTTCATCAAAAAGTATAAAAGTTACGACTATATCAAGTAAATTGGTCATTTTACACTTTGCGCGTGCGCGCACATGCATGCATGTGCATGTTGACCATGTCATCTTGTTAACTCTTTTAATATATCCTTATATTCTGAGTATCAAAGCATTTCATCAAAACATATAAAAGTTACAGCTATATCAAGTATATTGGTCATTTTACGCATTGCACGCGCACGCACGTGCATGCACGTGCGCGCAAAATTACCTTTGTTCCGCAAATCTACATAACATGCCTATTAACCCTAAAAAGGTTTTAACTTAATTGGATGAGCAGTTTCCGAGAACACTCGCGGACAAAAAAGTACCGGAGAAGAAATAAGAATAAAAAAGAATAATAATAATAATAATAATAATAAGAAACCGAGTAAAAACAATATGTTCCCAAACTCCGTTTGGGGAACATAATTACAGAAATGTAGTTGTACAGAAAGGAGGAAAAAATCATGAATGAATGAAGTTTTGAGAAACTTTTATACAGCAAACAAAGTAACGCTGTTACTTCATGTGCACTTAAATGATAACATATCTGGATGCCTTAGTTTTATGTTTTGGCTACTGTGGAATTTATGACTTAATATATAAACACTGTTGAGAATATGCTAGATTTTTGTAAATATTGCTGAGAAACAGTTACCAAAAAAAAAAAAAAAAAAAAAAAAATGATGATCTTGCTTATTACTTAAACTCTCTTGGCTACAATAGTCATCAACAATATATGAAACAATACATGGAAATCGCTTTTCAAAAAAAAAATTACACAAAATAAATAATCCCCCCCCCAATTACCTGCAAAAATTATTTAAACACAACCCTATGCTAAAATCTGTACTCGTAATACATATATACGCATCATTTAGCATAGGTTTATCTCTCAGAGTAAGAAAAACATCCTGTCATGCCTTTGAAGTATATGAAAACTAATTTCAGATGATAGAAGTTGTAATAATCTTTCATCATTAAACCGTTAATTGTTTTCCACTATACAAAGACCCTGCAAAAATAAACTATTATTGAAGCATTCCAAATGACGTCAGTTCACTCTCTGAGAATCAGGATGTAATTAAAACTGTGTAATTTTCCGTAAATTTCATAATTTTTGTGTAAATAAGACTAATTGGTCAAGTTGATATTCTTGATTCTATGATAATTTACTAATTGATCGAATGCGGGGGAGCAGATGTTTTTAAAATAATTATATGGTTTCATTAACAGTCTATTATTATAATTGCTTGATTCGAATCTAAACAAGCAAACCTTTGCAAACGCTTTTCTTTTTTCAGAGATATTTTTAACCCTACAAACCAATAATTTTTCCAATTGATTTCTCATTCCCTTTATTTAATTACACGTCTCAAAGACTAAAATTTGTTTGCAGATTCTAATTCAATCTGCGATATTGTATTTTTAACCCCTTATTGCTCTGCCATTTTAACGTTTGAAAGTGTTTCTTCTAAAAAAAAATAGCATCTAAACATTTAAAGAACAGCAATTTACTGTATATCATATATATTCTGCATTTGCAATGCTTTCAAATTCCTATAAATACACATAAAATTACTTTTTAAACAAATGAAAAAAAGTTGTCTTCTTTTAATACTGGTATGGGTTTTTTGTTGTATATTGCATGATTTAGAAAGCAATGTCATATTTTGATTTTAATGCAAAAGTGAAAGTTGGAGAGAATATTTCCCATCTTTTCCATTTTATCACACAAGCATAGTCAAATACCCAAAGGCATATATCAGATTCATTAGGTTCTTTGTAAATACTATATCCAAAACTCTACAAATTAAGAATCATGGTTTCTTTTGTAATTAGTTTTCCAGATGAGAAGGAAGTTGTTTCCTGAAAATATCGATATTTAAGAAGACTGTTTCAAAGAATAAACAATACTGTGTGCTCAAAGAAAATTTCTGTATTCTCAAAAACACTAAATCAACGTTTAGGACGAAAGAGTGATAACGGATTCTTGAAACACCCGAGTCCTCTAGATCTGTGTCTTCATGATCAAAGCTAGACCCATAAAGACTGCAAACCTTATTGAATAAATAATATATATTAATACATGTATGTACATATCTCTAAAAATAAATATATTTCAACAATACTTCAGGCAATTATATACAACACTGAATAACCGGATTTCTTTTTTTGTTCAGGAAACCCTTGAAAAAATGTGATATTCTATAATTTTGATAAATTATCTTCAGTTACTTCTAAACTCTAAGTTTTTCACAGGAATATTTACGAGTTAGCACATCACGATTATAATACATGGATATCATGGGATTTCTACATTTCAATAAAATTGGAATCATATCAATATATACAAAACTATTATGTAAATAATAGTTTAATGTTAAACAAATTATCTTTCATCATGGCATGTTGTACTATTAAATTGACACTCTTTGATTTTGTCGTCCCATTTCAGGTAGCTGCCGTCAGACTTTGCACAGGTCTTGTTAATGGTGATGTTATTTGAACAGGACACGAAGCCGAAACAGGTAAAACAAGACTGGTAATCCCCGTCTCTCATAGTAGTACAGTCGCTTACACATACTGTATGAAAACGCAGTTTGATTATAAATCATATCTTTTTTATAAGTACACTGTAGTTTAGAAGTAAATTTTTGTGTATTATTCTGTTGCACTTACCTGTCCCTTGGGTTTGTGAAAAGTATTCTTTTATAATGGAAGCTGTGTTTGAAAAATCTGAAAAATAATTTAAAACGTTGCTCTGCCATGCCGACTTTTAATTGTTGCGTCTCTCCCATACAGGGATTCTCTAACATGTTAGCGAACCCCTAAGGAGTACTTGATTGGTTGCCAGGATCAGTGCAGCATCTAATCGATTGCCGTGATCCACAAAGTAAAAATGTATAGAAACTTTGAAGAAATTCAGTTTTGCAAAGGGAGAATTGGGTTATATAATATGTGCTCTTTAGGTACCTTTTTTTCTTTATTCCTTCCTTTCTGAATTAAATAATGCTTAATTTGTCAAAAGACACCTTTCAAGCCTCATGTCTTATGCCAATTAAAAACAATGATAATGAAAGATAAAAGAGCTCGCCTCAGCGAATGTTATCTTTAAATAAGACAAATTATTTCACTAAAATAATAATCTAGTAGTGTGCATCCCTAGATTCAATATTTATCTAATTTTGGTCAACTTATAGCTGCAAGAAATGGACCTGCTCCAAAAAACTTTAACATGGTCACTTACATGTATCCTAAAAATGTAGGTCAAATCAAGCATCATCTGTAGCAAGTCTGGTAATGTGTATCCTTGATGTAAATTCCATGCAAGTTTGGTCTGCAAGTTTGGGCTTATAGTTACTTTAGAATATGAACCTCCTCCAATACTTTTAACTTGTTCATTCATCTTAAAAATGTATTTCAAATCAAGCATCTATTGGAAGCAAGTTTGGTAGTGTGCATTCTATGATGTATCATCGATAAAAGTTTGGTCAATATAGGGCCTATAATTACTTTAGAATGAACCTGCTCAAAAACATTCACCTGGTCACCCATATGCATCCAGAAAATTTAGGCAAGATCTAGGAATTCAAGCAAGTCTGGTAGTGTGCGTCCTTGGATGTATCATCCCTGCAAGTTTGGTCAATATAGGGCTAATAGTTACATGTACTTAAAAATGAGAACCTGTTCCAAAAACTTAAACCTGCCTAAAAAATTTTAATATGCCCCCAAATATTTTTTTGCTCCAAATACATAAACCTGATCATCCTTTTGCTGAAAATGCAGTATCTGAAACCTGCCAATGAAACATACTAAGCGTCGTCTATGTATTTCTGATCAATATAGGGCAAAGAAGTACTTGAAAAGAAATCTGCTCCAAAAAAAAAATAACCTTGGACCCCGACGGTTTTACATGATCATGAGCTCCCCAAACACCGTTGAAGCGAGCGAAAAGGAACTCGAGTTGGAGAAAAAAAGGTCACCAACTCGCACAAGTTATGAAATCTATGTCTTTGAATCAAATACATGATGATATAGAAAATCTAAAATCGTAAAATTTTTCTACAATTATTAACACCGACTTTAAACCGACTTTAAACCACTTTAAACCACTCGGAAATTTTCATGTCTTGCAATTTGTTATATATAAAATTACTTAAAAATTTTGTAGAAATCATTCTCCTTCTCAGCACAAGTACTCTAGATCTGAAATTGATATTAAAAATATGAGGGAGGTCCATATTGACAATAACTAAAGGCTTTGGAGACCAAGTCTTTTGACGATCTGTTAAATTTCTCATGGACACAAAATGTGCTGCTTTATTAGCTTTTTTGTTTTTGTACTCAAATTTTTCTTTTTTATTAATATTATATGAGCTGTCCTCTAGTATTTTCTTCACTTTAAATTTGTTTTTACAAGTTAGCGGAAATTCGGAGCTAAGATACGCTAATTTATTATTACCTTAAAGTAACAAAATTACGTGAGTATCTCACATAAGTTATGGACAGCTTGGAGTTTCATAATGCTTTCATGTTCCAATAACGATTTGATGCAGAGTACATTTATTCTAACTACAATAACATCATAAATACCATAGTAAATAAATCATTACTAAAATATTTTTTTTATTTATTGTCTTTCCATCATGTTAACATAATTTAAAGTCTTAAGCAACAACAATTTAACCTCTAGAATATGCTTCCAATACATAACCAATAATACCTTTTTTAATTTCGGATCGAAGAAACTCCACAGTCCTGGTGAAATTTTCCGTTATTTTTGGTAATTCTGATAGCTGTTCTGTATTAAGGGCACTTAGTGCAGCGCCAACAGATATTCCAAGGAAAAAGATTAGAATAAGTGCAATCCTGCACCAACTTACTTTTAATTTCTGTGAAAAAAGAATTATCTTTAAAATAACATAAATTGCCATAAAGTTTAGAGCTTGTTTAGTGTGTGGGGTTGGGGTGGGAGTGGGTTGCAATTAAAATGGATTTATATATTTTACTAAATGCTTTCAAGACGAATGTATTAATCATACAATTAATTTTCTTTTACCTTTATCCATGAAATTGTTGGTAAACTCTTTAAGTCTACACTTGGAAATTACATTTCCGAATACATTTTATAAAGTGGAAGAGGACGATATACGAGGGGTGATCAAAAAGTTCGCGAACTGTCTTTATTTTTACAAAAACACAATTCAGATTAGAATGAAATTTGGCACACAAATATTCATAAGCATGTTCTATAAAAAGCAGATGTTACATATGTTTTGGTCCATGTTTATGACGTCACATGTGAAAATGACCTCAATAGGTAGATGGCTCGTGGCAAAAAACGGGTGACCCAGTCTTACTCGAGCATGGAACGGCTGTAAAGTTTAACGTGTATCTTGGAAATTCCTTTGCAGTGGCATATAATAATTTGTACAGGGTTTATAAAAACAAGGTACTTGCAAAAAGTTCAATCATTAATTTGATTGATTGTTTTAGTGAAGGAAGGGAAATGGTTAAAAATTATGTTTGTTCTGGTGCCTATTGAAAGTATGGTGAGAAAGAGATGTGTCCTTAGTTGAGCAATCTGTTATTAAAGTTAGAGTTACAAAAATAGTTGAGTATCTTAACAATAAAATAATTATTAAATCCATAAAATATCAATTACTTTAGATATTAAACGTATCAGATATGATAAAAAGAACGCGCGTATACTTGATTCACATTTAAAAAACGACACATCTAAGGCAGAAGGGTCGGGTTGTGATGGTCACCATGCTCATTCTGGTGAAAGATATCCTTATCCATTCATCCTATTGCCGAGATTTGGTCATTTGTGACAAATGGATCATTCTTGTTGTAAAAATTAACTTGCATGGAAATAATTATAAGACTCGGATAAATCTTTTAGCTGCCGTGAACAGAACGCTTAAGAGCATGTCACGTGACCGTCTGGGCCACGTGTTTCGCGCATGAGCAGAACTATGGCAGATGTGCAATAAAACCGGAGGGGACTACTTTAAAAAATAATACACATTGAAACCTAATTTTATTTCTTTTATGGTAGTAATTCAATTAGTTCGCGAACTTTTTGGTCACTCCTTGTATATATATATATATATATATATATATATATATATATATATATATATATATATATATATATATATATATATATATATATATATATATGTATTGGTATTATGATAGCGGCCAATAAAATCTTTAAAAACTGACTGCAACCAGTACTGATGAAAAAAAAATGAGATAGTAGGTTAAAAAAAACTGTTTACTATTTGAATTATGTTCCAAAATTTAACCAATATAGATAGACAGAACTAAAACAGATTGACGAATTAATTCATACATGTATTCTTTGAAATCATACAATTTATTTGACTGTTGACAAATTATATTGAGGACTGCAGTAATTAAAAAATCGTTTTATGCATAATTATGATTCTTTGCGAAATTAACGAATGTCAAGATAATTCGTAACACTGTTGTTGTACATGTAAGTAACGAAACGAGAGGAAAACCAGTAAAGTTATTGTATAATCTTGAAAGCGTTTGTGGGCAGCATAACTTAGCTGTAAATAATCGTTTAGTAGTGTTTTTTTTTACAGAAATATATGAAATTTATATGGTCACCTTTGTAGGTAATGTTTGCGTTTTCATCTTAATACTATAAGGCCAAGCCCCACTATGTTTGAAGAGATGGACCAGAAATACATGTAGCATAAATTTTGTAGCTATGATGCGTTGGGCTCTTAAAGGATGACTGTACTTAAGGACATGCGGAATTTGCGACAAAATAAACTTTCAAAACAAGCATTTTTCTTTTCATTGCAAGAATGGTCAACATCCAATCTACAACTTCATATAATTACGTTTGATAAGAAAGTGTATTTACGAAGTTCGAATCTGTTTTTAAAGGCAGGGGTCATCACAATTTCTTGAATCTCCGTTCGATAATGAGGACGCCCACTTTTTTACTGACTATGTATAAAGTCGTGTATAAAGCGCATGTTTAAAGCTCATGTTTGTCTATTGTTCTACGTTTAACAGTAGTTGTATATTTGCATAAATAATATTGTGTCAAAAGGAGATTAATAGACAAACATGCGCTCATGGTCAAAAAGAGAAAAAAAACTGCTTCTTCTTATACATTCGCTCTTTGTGTTGAACCAAGGATTATGACATGTTGAATATTATAATTCACCACGTGATTTCTTACCTCAGGTAACTTTGTGAATACTAAATTCCGTCACGTGACTTGTAAGGTAGCATGTTTTGTGCTAACTAGGACATTGTGTTCGAACACGTTGTCATCTGGCATTGATATAAAATCTGCTTTAATTACATTGACGTGCTCATGTTGTTAATTTCGTTTTGAAACCTTTGTCTGAAGTGTATTTGTGCCATACAGAATGGAGAGGGAGATTGGAAAGAGTGATCACGTTCGCTTTCCCAAACATTTCATTGTTATTTATTTTCTCCCTCGTTTCACTCCTCCGAAAATAAATATTTTCTTGACTAATTTATTGAAAAACAAAGAAAAAGAATATATTGTAGGTTGTTGCGTTCGTTACAAATCGCTTTTTATTAATAACACAAATCAATTATATTATTTTTACAAAATAAAGAATGCAAGGGAATAAACAATGCAAGGGCTGGGCGGGCCGGGAAAGCCAAAGACACAAAAACTACTGCGATTCTTTGTAACGAACGTCGCATTAATCGAACATTGCCCGGCAAATGTATTTATAGTGAGCGCTAAATCGCTCGTGCATGAAAAACCAGTATTCTTAAGATACGAAAATTCACGAAAATTACCGAAGCTAAAAACGTAAAGAAATAAATTTATTTTCTCCCTCGTTTCACTCCTCCGAAAATAAATATTTTCTTGACTAATTTATTGAAAACAAAGAAAAAGAATATATTGTAGGTTGTTGCGTTCGTTACAAATCGCATTAAACAAAGGACAGTGATTGCAATAATATAAATTTTATAATCCAAGATTCATTGAAACTAGTATTTTTTGTTCAAGATTGTCTTTTATATAACCGTCTTTGGCTTTATCCGTGACCCAACGACCATGTATTTTAAGCAGTCGATCTGACACATTATTATTAGAAGCGGCTGTAACTCCGCCGCTGCGTAAACTATGCAATGAATATTTAGAACTGTCAAGGCCAATTTCATTTAAAGATGACAACAATATTTCTCTAGCTCTTGTGTATGACAGAGATTTGGATTTATTGGAAGCTTTGAAAACATTGAGAGATTTTACAAAGATTAAAGCTGTAAAAAGATAATCGTCGGAAGACTTATCCATCTTTAACATGTCAATGTATTTATTTAACCAAAACACAGGACACAGATCATTTCCAGTTTTTGCGATTATCACCGAGTTTCCTCTTCTATAGAAATCTGTTTTACTTCTGGGAATGTTGATATCGATGTAAACGTTTTCCCATTTAATATCGCATAATCGAATATTTGATAATTCACCGAATCTAAAGAATCTGGAAAAACCCAATAAACACATCACAAACGATCTCAATTTCAGCACATTTGAAGGATCCTTGGAAGAAACATCCATTAATTTACGTAATATATCTGTAGTGATAGGTTCTTTTTTGTTGATAGGTTTTGATAACATACGTCTTCCTCCTTCAAGTACTAGTTTCAGAAACTTGTCCTCGCATGGATTCAATCTTGAAGAAAATTCGTGAGTCCAGCTTATACTGTAGAAATACGCTTCCAGAACGGATGTTGATACCCTCTGTTGCACCAAACCTCCCATAAAAAGAGCGACGGTAGATACTGATGCCGGAAGATGTGTAAAGGAATGCTTCAAACACCAGTCTCTGAATTTAGAGAAATATATGTCGTACTTCTTGTTCGTGGATTGAGATTTTGCGTTTCTCACGATATTAGGCAAAGACTCCACTATATCACTAAAATGGTGATTTTGTTTAAACTTTTCAATATTTATCCATTGGCCTTGATAATTCTTCAATATCTGAAATATATAACAATAATGCACATTAAAATTCAAATCAATTTTGCACCATAGCCAAATGTAGCCACGATAGTATAACACATGCACGTACACACAAAACATTTTATAATCAACATCAAAACAGGAGAGCAGTCCTCCTTGATTCAATTTAAGCAGTCATCAATTTATATGATTGTCAGTACCAGAATATTATGTTAATTATAATCTTATATTTGAGTTGCAGTCATTCAAAGTAAACACATCATATCTAGGAGAGCAGCCCTCTTTATTGGATAACAGTCATCCAATTATTTCATTACAATACGCATGCACATTGTACACTGGCTAGCAGTCAACCTTTGTGTACTATCTGTCCATATTTCACAATCAAAGCATGCTAATTGCACATAGTACATTGTTACAGTGACTTAATTACGAAGCATCCAATCTCAGTGCTATAACATTACTGATAAATTTGTGAGATGCAAATATGCTACTTTTATCAGAACCCGAAATGAAAAAAATTGTTGGTTTTTCATATTCTATCATATCTTTCACAAACCACAAGAACTTTCCATTCTTGTCGAACAAAGATGGCCAAAAAGCTGCTGATTTCCATTTAGGAACAATTAAGGTGCCCTTAGCCCCGCAATTTAATAAATGTTTTATTGTCCTCCCTATCAAATAAATGGGAGGAACAATCCAATTCAAATCTTGTGACCAGTCAAACGCAAATGCGTCGACGCCGCTTGTTCCAGGAGACCAAAACAAAGAATAAAATTTTTTCACTTTGAAATTGTTGCAACTCGCAAAATTATCACAAGTGTAAGGTCCCCAAACCTTATTGAAAAATGCAAAAATATGATTGCTTATACCCCAATCGTCAAAATCAAAAACTTTGCTGACAAAATCTGCTTCTACGTTTTGATCTCGTGGAACCCAGGCTACAGAAAAATCGATATTTGTAATCAAACAATTTGTGTATATAGAAAAAGCAAGAGTTTGTAAATCCGAATTCATACTGCCGATCTGCGAAATTCTAACGACGTTTTGATTGTCTGTGTATAGTTTTACAAATTTATTTTCTAAAACCCCACCAAAAGATTTCATGAACATTTCAACTGTTTTAAGTTCTCTAAAAGTTGAACTCTGAAATCTGTCTGATTCGTCCCACATAACATGAAAAACTTTCTTAGTAGAATCTATCATCACGCCACCGCCTGCAAAATCACTAGCGTCAGTAAAAGCAATGCGTTCCGGTATGCGATACCATGGAGAAATAACCCTACCGGGAATTGATAGACTATTTTTTAACCAAAACTCTAGCTCACACCACGCGGGAAGTGAAATATTAATATTTTCATCCCAACATGATGCATTTGCAATTAGCATTGACAATTGTCTAGTTGTTATTTGACAAACAGGCCCAAGTGCAAACTTAAATGAAATAATACTGCCTACTACTGAAGCGAGATCTCTGGCAGAAATTTTTTGTTTTTCTCTAAGTTTAATTATCTTACTGCACAAACTTTCTAATTTATGTCGAGGAATACCAATAAACCCGACTTCTAAGTTCCACTCAAAACCGAGCCACTCTAATTTTTGAATTGGATTCCAAACGCTCTTTTCTTCATTAACAAGAAAACCAGCATGCAATAAGTCTTTTTGAATATCCTGTGACATTAAAATACAATTTTGTTTTGAATCGCAAACCCAGCCATCATCTAAATACATAATAACTCCATACGCTTTTGTTCTCCAATGCAATACTAACGGTCTTAATACTTTAGTAAAAATGTAACCCGCACTGCTGAGGCCAAAGGGGAGGACCGTGAATACAAAATAAAGCTTTGAGCCATTGAAATTCCAAGAAAACCCCAAGTATTTGTAAAAATCTGGATGAATGTTTACGTGATGATATCCGCTTGTTAAATCAAATTTTATCATAAATAAGCCTTTTTTGGCAAAATTGAGACCCTCTGAAGTCCCTTCGAATTTGAATTTTCTCTTTAAGACGCATGCATTGACATGTCTAAGGTCAAGAATCAACCTTGGCTTTTTATTCAATGGCACAGAAACGGTCAGTGGATTTACACAATGGGGCGGTTCAAAGCATTCAATCACTTACTCTTTTTTCAACAATTCTAATATGGCCTTTTCAACAAAAGGGTGCTCTGCAGTGCTGATTTGTTTTTAGACAAAAATACAACTTCAGGAAATGTAATAAATTCTATCCTATAACCAAATCTGATAACATTTAAAATATAATCGTCTGGTTTTATAACATTCTTCCAAAATTCAAAAGAGTTTTTTAAACGATCTTTAACTGAAATGTTAGATTTTGAATAAAAGTCAGATTTCTGATCCAATAAATGACTATCATACTCAACTTCACTGCTGGTCTGCTGTTGATGTTGGAACAAGTGCTGTTGTTTCGGTTCTCTGGGAATTTGTGAACTGTAGTTGCTGGGTATACGGGGAGAATCTTGCAAAGTGGCCCGGGAGTCGGCAGTAGTGGCAGACGATGTTTGCGACCTGTGTTTGAAGAGGTTTTCTGTAATTGGCCGGACTGGGCGAAAAGAATCTAGGGTCGAATTGCTGCCGGTAGTTGAATTTTGAACTGCCGAGAAAAAGCTGCTTAGAGGACAAACTATCGAACACTCCTGAAGTTTTAGGGAAAACCGGTCTGTCGTATGGAGATTTCCGCTTCTTGTTGGCGGCTCTTGAAATAGCGGAGCGCAGTCTGGCGGCATCCTCGCTATTGTCAGCAATATCAGAATCCACGTACTCCTTAACGGTGTCCCAACCATGTTTATCAGCTATTCGTAATAACTTGTTTCGTTGACGAATGGCCTCTTTCTCGGAAGAAATTAAATCTGTGACACCGCTAAAATCGCCAGATGTGAGTTTTTGTGACAACAGCTCTAAACCTCGCAGTCTTGCCTCATTGAAATGAAACTGTATTTTGTTTCCTTCTCCACTGAACTCAATTGTGTTTGCTGGTTTAAGTTTATCTTGAACTTCAGAAAGAATAATAGTTTTTTGCTTTTCAAGAGCGGCGTCTAACCTACTGTTGAATAGACTTACAGCGTCAATAACATCAAAATCCTGTCCAGAATTGGAGTTAGTCTCTGTCTGTGATTCCCGAGGAACATCTCTATTAGAAGCTGTACTTGAAGATTCTGTAGACATGCCAAAGACACAAAAACTACTGCGATTCTTTGTAACGAACGTCGCATTAATCGAACATTGCCCGGCAAATGTATTTATAGTGAGCGCTAAATCGCTCGTGCATGAAAAACCAGTATTCTTAAGATACGAAAATTCACGAAAATTACCGAAGCTAAAAACGTAAAGAAATAAATTTATCAAGTCTAATTTTAGAGCCATTCTTACAATGTTAGCTCCACCTCTCATGCTTATTTTATGTTCAATCAAGGGCAGGTAAGTGTAAATGCACTATATTTGGAAAGTAGTAAGGACAAAAAACATCGAATCATTTTATTGTATCACAGTCTAAAATCATTTTAAGATTTAAATGTGGTTCCAAATTGACAGTATTCTTTCATAAACATACAAAAGTGAGATAAGGTATAGGTATAAAAGCAACAGAAGCAATCGAAAAGACCCCAAAACAGGCGTAAAGTACAGTCATCCTTTCTAAAATAAATGAATGATGATGTCGAATATAGAATGATTGTGACTGAATAAATTGATTAATACCTTATCACCATATGTAGGTAGGGATTGTGTTGTCAATTCTGTCGATTCCGTTCCATCAGACACTTTTCTTTTCTAAAAATTTAAAACATTTTACAGACATAATTTTAACTTGATATGTAATCAGGCTTGGGGTAATGCTAAATGTAATTGTAATGCATTGCAATGCATTACTTGAACACGAAATAATGCTAGTAATGTGCAATGCCAAAAAATTGCATTACATGTAATGGTAATGTAATGCATTACTTTCTCAAATTCAGAGTAATGCTGGCATTACATAGCATTACAAAGCATTATTTTGTATATATCTATTCAAAAAAAAAAAAAAAAAAAAAAAAAAAAAAAAAAAAAAAAATGTACATGGAAATAATAGTGAAGATTAATTTTTTTTTCTGAAATAATAGAGGTAAATGAAAAAAGTTAACCTATTTAAATAAACTCTCTATATCTATTTAAATATATATTTTTATTATGTTGAAAGTACAATTCGCATACATTTAAATTTTTATACTTATTTTAGATAAGATTTGATTTCAAAGAATATTTTAAAGATATTTTTAAAAATATCCTTTAAAAATAATTCCAGTATGAGGCACACTATTAATGTATAATGTAAACATATAATTGCCACCTTTTAAATAGAGTGTCATCAAAACACAAAATGCCTCTAAGATTATGTAACAATTAAAACAATGTATTGTTTTGGGAATTATTCAAAAAACCAGCCCCTTTCTTCTGACTATGTTTATGAAACATTAATTGAGCTCGTCTAGCTTGAGCTGACCATGACAAATCCATTGCACCAAAAGGAATAGAAAATAGACACTTGACTTTTAGAAGAGCAAAATGTACATACTGTCCAACAATTTTTACAAGTTTGTCAATCATTTATTTTTGTCATAATTTAACGTATACAAGATTCAAATAATCTTTATATATCTTATTAAGATTAGTTTTGGGGAGGGATTAAATTGCCCCAAAAGTTTAATTGCTTTATGACATCAATTATAGTTATACAAAAAGTTCATATTGTAAATGTACATGTTTTTATCTTATTGACAATTGAAAAGTTCGAACATCCTGTGAATAATAAAAAGATGTGTAAATTGTTTACAGTGTAATAAATACAGGTACTTGGAATAAAATTTGAATTATCGTTCATCATGTTTAGTTACAAAGGGGTGGGATGCATGTTTATGAAAATAGTTGCAAAGTTTTGTATTTTTATTTCTGAAAACCTCCAAAAGTAATGGTAATGCATTACTTTCCTAAAGTAATGGTAATGTAATGCATTACTTTAAGAAATTAAAGTAATGGTAATTTAATGCCAAAATTCTTGAAGTAATGGTAATGCATTACTTTACAATGTAATTCGCCCCAAGCCTGTATGTAATATATGACAAATATTTGAATATCATTATTTTACTTTAAATTGGCAGTAAGAAGAGTTTTCATCGTCGCGATCGAAAGGATAATTCCTTGGGGGATATTTTTTTCAATCTCAGAAAAGCGTCCAGTATTTTTCAATTCATACGGTATTCTTGATGTCTGGAAAAACACAGTTCTGAGATATTTCTTCTCATGTTAATATTTTAGTGAATTTAAAGAAACGATTACAAAATTGATTTCAGAATAATGAAAACATTTTTTCTATGCTAAAATTTTTTTTTTATAAGATGAAATTAGAATAAATAACTTTTTAACAGGTCTGGACAATTTCCATTTAAGGAAATCATGAACGATGATGTTTATTACTATAAATGCACAGAATAAATAATGTGATTATTCCACTAGCCAATCAGACAACAAGATTTAAGCAAATCCACGAGAAAATAAAAAAAAAAAATCGGTTTTAAACTTTTTTTCTCAAAAGATTTTTGGAAAAAAATCCGGTAAACTTTTAGAAATAATACGGCATGTGTAATAATTCTACCGTGAACAAACAATTTTAAGACATAAAGGTTAAGAATAAATTCTACGTGGGAATAAAATCTATCTCTATAAATTAGCAATCCAAATAGTTTAAGAAATTTGAAATACGGCAGATTTTAAGTTTTTTAAGCCTGCTATGGAGATGTTTTAGCACTAGGGAATATGACAATAGCAGTCTACATGCACTTATTTCCTGTGTATAACAAAATTGTCCAGTTTCTTGTATGCTTGAAATATAAAGATAAAAAAGCATCATCTTCATTCCTTTTTCCAAAGTTTTTACACCTTGCCATATGTCCATATAAAGTGTATATATGTTGCAGATCTGTTTGTGGGTGTGTGAGAGTGATGGTTTCCGATTGATCATGAAAACATTTACCCGAATATGGAGTATGTTTATAGCAACATTTCACTTACCATACATGACTTCCAAATATGGAAATCTTCCAGACCTTCCTGACAAAAATTTACTACACACGTATTTGTATAATTGTTTCTATAGCGAACTAAAAAATGACGCATATACTTTAATACTCTGATTTATAATGAAACTTTTTCGAGATTTAATTTTAATAACTCTTGAATATATTACCAATTATGTAAATTTTGGAGATTAAAATGTGAATATACAATTAATATTTCTTTTCCTCTTTCTCAGGAATTCTCATTTAGAAATTGAGGGAAATTAATCATAACAATTTGAAATTCATTTAAAAAATACTTGACACTACGCACGGTGTTGGTACATATATTATAATATCTGACTCTTTATATGTCGAAAAGAAACTATGTTTTCAAGGTGCAATTTGTTCTATAAATTAAATATGAAATTTAATGTATTATCTAAGGTACTAAATTATTCTAAAAATTCTCTTTTTAGCAATGTAATGTCATATTTATTCACTGTTCCAACGTAAATATAAGTCAGGCTTGGTAAAGTGTAGCCATTTTGTTCTGTACAAACGAATTACTGTACAAACAGTGACTTAACATTGCTCATTTAAATATCTAAAATACATAAAATAATGACATTGATATACCATTACTGTATTTTGGAAGAACATTTTATACTATATGAAATAATTACATAATTTTTACGGTAATAATGTACGTAAAATAAATGCAAGCATCGATGAAAATGTAGCCATTTTGTCTCATACGAAAAGCGATATAATATTACACTATGTATGATATCGGGATAATCAAATTATTATCTCCGTGCCCCCTTTCCCCAATTTTTGCAGGTCCGTAGTACCAGATATTGGTTAGGAGGGTCCCTCTACCATTGTTTTAGAATAGTCTTTTGCTGTAAATTTCGTGCGAAAATTTTCATTCAAAGACCGTTATCCCCCCTTTTCATTTTTTGCACCAATATCAAATTCCTTCATGTTATTGTTCTCAATAATTTGCCGAAAATGAAAATGAGAAAACCTCCCTCTCCCTCTTAAGAATAAAAAAAATAGTAAAAGGATTTTTGACTTTTGGCGATTGGCCAGTTTTTCAATTTGGTGGGTCAATTCTTAATGGTGAAACGCCTCATCCCTCCTTTTCTGCTTGTCAATTCCTCCAATTTAAATACGATTCCACATGCCTTTTCCGAGAGCTTAAAGCTTATTTTTTCATATGTTATAGTATTGAAGACTAGACCAAAAAGGCAGCCAACATGTACTACTTAAGCTGAAAAAACCCACAAAGAATAGTTCGATTGAATATTCTGCCATTCATTTTTTGTCAGTTTAGCGCCCACCTATAATTCAAGAACCAATCTACATATTCACAAAAACGCATGAGCACAAAAGCCCAAAATTAAAACAAGCACAAGCACTTAAATCGGTTGTCATAAAAATGACACCAATCAAATGTATTGATTTTATAATTGCATTTTTCTCGTAGAAAGATACATTTTGTCTATCGTAGAAAAATACATTCCTTTGCAAAACAAGTTCGTAAATACTAAGTACATTACCTAATTCAAAACAGTCTAGGTAGATGTAGCATGAAAATTACAGAATTCGAAAGGTTTCAATAAAAAAGACAAAAGCGGATCTAGAGGGGGATCGAGGGGGAGGGGGTGCCCGGACATTCTCTGGGATTTTCAGAGTTATAAAATTGCCATGTAAAGTAACGAATGAAATCTTGGAATCCCCTAGGAAACATGACCCCATGTAAAATGGTACGGAAAGTCAGGTATCAGAAGAAAATAGACTAAAAAAAAGGTGCCCTCCCCCCAATGAAATATGATTTTCAAGTCTGGGGTTTGGGCAAGTTGTTTACTTTTATTCATTTATTAATTTTGCTAATCAAAAACTTTTGGAGTTGTGCTCGTTCTTACCATGGTTCATATAAATATTAAATACTTGCCATTCATATTTATCAGAATTGATTTAACTCAGATTATTCAACTCGTATATATTTAACCACGAAATTTTAAATGATATGCATGTTTTTCTGTTCCGCATTCCTCACTTTATGCCTATGTTCTGGGATCGATCCTCACAAGAAAATATAAACATGACTTTATCAACTCATACAAATAATCCTTGTTTAAGTATGCACAATTTATACAATTTATATAGTTTCTAGTATGATTTATATATTTGTCATATTGTCCGTCTTCCGTTTCCGTTCCGCGTTTTAGTACTTAAAACCCAAACAGAGAATACAACTTGAGGAAAAAGAGATAGAAAGGGGAAGAGAGGATATGAGTGAGGATAATTGAGATTCTTTTGAGTGTCTGTGCCAATTCCATAATAAATATCATTAGTTAGCATTTATTTATAAGATTTATTAAAATAATAATAATAATAATAATAATAATAATAATAAAAACCATCTGAGTATAGAACGTTGAATTTTTAGTGCCTTGTTATTTTGTATTGATAATATTCATATTAAAATATTTTAAGAATATGCAATTATAACGATTAAAACGCTATAACAACGTTATGACTTTAATTACGTTATTTTGACGTAACGTCAATGTGTACATTGTACCAACACCGTGTGCAACATCTTTGATTTACTATATTAAAACCTTTTGATTAACTATAGTGAAAACTTTGATACTAAAACATATTATTATAGTTAATTTTAGTAAACTATAGTTAACAATTTATTTTTTGGACTGTTTGTTGTTGGATTGTACTTACGGACTTTGTGCTTACGAACTGTCTACAAGAATAAAAGATACAGATATTTATTCCATTGGCAATGTTTTATCAATAGGTACTGTTAATACCAAGAAACATAATATATATAGTAAAAGCCGGAATTATAACACTGTATCATAAATGCATCGTAAGTGTCTCTCTCTCTCTCTCTCTCTGTGCTTGTATAATTGTCACATATCAATTAGGAAAAGAGATAGAGAGTAGGAGAAAGATATATATAAAAAGTATTTATTTGTATTTCTGTGCAGTATCCAAACCTATATAGGTAGAATGCATAAACAATGATTTAGAAATGTAAATATAAATGTTTTTAGTGTAAATGAGTATTATAAATGACATGGAAGCGCATGGCAATTCTTGCACAGTGCCGCATAGGTGAAATTATCAATTCCTTGTCGTTTATAGCTTCATAAACATGAAATAAATACTTACTTCTGTTTAAAGCTTAAAAACAAATACAATATCTAAATGTGGAAAACAGCATCTTAGTTCCAACTAATTTTTTGAGATGAAAATTCATGCTTACTTAAGGGTTTTGTTTACCTGTAATGGTGTCCGTCGTAGAACACATATCCTTCGAGCTAAAAATAATAAAAAAAAATATTGTGTCAGTTTATTGAGTTTTTTAGCAAACTTTTAATCTTTCATATGATTATGTTAAAAATGATTTAGTATTCTACAGCATTTCACTTGAGTCGATGTTACGAGATCGCAGGAGTATTAATCTTCAAGTATAAATAACATGCAAGATAAATATTAGGTTTGACTTGTAATACCGTTAAGCTACAATTTTTAATCTTTAACAAGAGATATACTGGGTCACGACACTACTAAGTTAACAGTCTCTTTCTGACAAATGAAAAGGTTAATGAAAATCCTTATTTTGTTCTCCAAAATAAAGCCCATCGTTCTTAAGAATTGTGTTTTTTTTTAATTTCTCTTCTTTTTTGTTCAATGAAAATCCTTATTTTGTTCTCCAAAATAAAGCCCATCGTTCTTAAGAATTGTGTTTTTTTTTAATTTCTCTTCTTTTTTGTTCAATGAAAATCCTTATTTTGTTCTCCAAAATAAAGTCTATCATGTCACAAATTTTGATTTACAGTACTTTCAGGTTCAATGTCAACTTCAGAAATTGTGGTCCTTTTGTTCTTAAGAATTTCAATATAGTTTACGTTTACATCTTTGTTTCCAAATCGAAACCCTAATCTACATGTACTCTTTGAGTACATGCTTTGAGCAAACACAATCTTTCTTTTCAAAATATCCTTTTACAATACAATGCAAAATTTTGAACCTTTGTTGTGGCCTTGCCCTAGCCTTTTGGACCATTATTTAATTAAGATTGAACCTACACTACATGGTAATACATCCATATCATACATGTATCAATATCAAATATTGCTGATCCATCGTCCTTGCAGTTGAGAATTGTTTTTTTAATTTCTCTTCTTTTTTGTATTTGAAAAATTATCTTAACCTGATAACGCTGCGGCCCAAAATTAATCACTGATTTGAGCTAATTTAAAGAGGCTTTTTCCTCTTTAAATTGATCAGGACATTTTAATACCCACAACTCATGAAGCGTGATCTATAAAATATAATATAGATAAAAGGTATGTAGATGACTTTTTATAAGACTGGAATGTTTTAACTGATTTAACTCAGATTATTCAACTCGTATATATTTAACCACGAAATTTTAAATGATATGCATGTTTTTCTGTTCCGCATTCCTCACTTTATGCCTATGTTCTGGGATCGATCCTCACAAGAAAATATAAACATGACTTTATCAACTCATACAAATAATCCTTGTTTAAGTATGCACAATTTATACAATTTATATAGTTTCTAGTATGATTTATATATTTGTCATATTGTCCGTCTTCCGTTTCCGTTCCGCGTTTTAGTACTTAAAACCCAAACAGAGAATACAACTTGAGGAAAAAGAGATAGAAAGGGGAAGAGTGGATATGAGTGAGGATAATTGAGATTCTTTTGAGTGTCTGTGCCAATTCCATAATAAATATCATTAGTTAGCATTTATTTATAAGATTTATTAAAATAATAATAATAATAATAATAAAAAAAACCATCTGAGTATAGAACGTTGAATTTTTAGTGCCTTGTTATTTTGTATTGATAATATTCATATTAAAATATTTTAAGAATATGCAATTATAACGATTAAAACGCTATAACAACGTTATGACTTTAATTACGTTATTTTGACGTAACGTCAATGTGTACATTGTACCAACACCGTGTGCAACATCTTTGATTTACTATATTAAAACCTTTTGATTAACTATAGTGAAAACTTTGATACTAAAACATATTATTATAGTTAATTTTAGTAAACTATAGTTAACAATTTATTTTTTGGACTGTTTGTTGTTGGATTGTACTTACGGACTTTGTGCTTACGAACTGTCTACAAGAATAAAAGATACAGATATTTATTCCATTGGCAATGTTTTATCAATAGGTACTGTTAATACCAAGAAACATAATATATATAGTAAAAGCCGGAATTATAACACTGTATCATAAATGCATCGTAAGTGTCTCTCTCTCTCTCTCTCTCTCTCTGTGCTTGTATAATTGTCACATATCAATTAGGAAAAGAGATAGAGAGTAGGAGAAAGATATATATAAAAAGTATTTATTTGTATTTCTGTGCAGTATCCAAACCTATATAGGTAGAATGCATAAACAATGATTTAGAAATGTAAATATAAATGTTTTTAGTGTAAATGAGTATTATAAATGACATGGAAGCGCATGGCAATTCTTGCACAGTGCCGCATAGGTGAAATTATCAATTCCTTGTCGTTTATAGCTTCATAAACATGAAATAAATACTTACTTCTGTTTAAAGCTTAAAAACAAATACAATATCTAAATGTGGAAAACAGCATCTTAGTTCCAACTAATTTTTTGAGATGAAAATTCATGCTTACTTAAGGGTTTTGTTTACCTGTAATGGTGTCCGTCGTAGAACACATATCCTTCGAGCTAAAAATAATAAAAAAAAATATTGTGTCAGTTTATTGAGTTTTTTAGCAAACTTTTAATCTTTCATATGATTATGTTAAAAATGATTTAGTATTCTACAGCATTTCACTTGAGTCGATGTTACGAGATCGCAGGAGTATTAATCTTCAAGTATAAATAACATGCAAGATAAATATTAGGTTTGACTTGTAATACCGTTAAGCTACAATTTTTAATCTTTAACAAGAGATATACTGGGTCACGACACTACTAAGTTAACAGTCTCTTTCTGACAAATGAAAAGGTTAATGAAAATCCTTATTTTGTTCTCCAAAATAAAGCCCATCGTTCTTAAGAATTGTGTTTTTTTTTAATTTCTCTTCTTTTTTGTTCAATGAAAATCCTTATTTTGTTCTCCAAAATAAAGTCTATCATGTCACAAATTTTGATTTACAGTACTTTCAGGTTCAATGTCAACTTCAGAAATTGTGGTCCTTTTGTTCTTAAGAATTTCAATATAGTTTACGTTTACATCTTTGTTTCCAAATCGAAACCCTAATCTACATGTACTCTTTGAGTACATGCTTTGAGCAAACACAATCTTTCTTTTCAAAATATCCTTTTACAATACAATGCAAAATTTTGAACCTTTGTTGTGGCCTTGCCCTAGCCTTTTGGACCATTATTTAATTAAGATTGAACCTACACTACATGGTAATACATCCATATCATACATGTATCAATATCAAATATTGCTGATCCATCGTCCTTGCAGTTGAGAATTGTTTTTTTAATTTCTCTTCTTTTTTGTATTTGAAAAATTATCTTAACCTGATAACGCTGCGGCCCAAAATTAATCACTGATTTGAGCTAATTTAAAGAGGCTTTTTCCTCTTTAAATTGATCAGGACATTTTAATACCCACAACTCATGAAGCGTGATCTATAAAATATAATATAGATAAAAGGTATGTAGATGACTTTTTATAAGACTGGAATGTTTTTGAATACAGTTTTTTTTTTAATTTTTAAAATAATTCAACTCGACATTTAGATATATCGACGATATTTTCAATTAGCAATAGTTATTTCAATTCATATGTTGACAAGATATATCCCAGTGAGCTTGAAATAAACGATACAACAGAGTCTGAGAAATCTGTTTCATATTTGGATATTTTACTAAAGAAAAGACGTTAATGGTAATCTAACAACGAAGCTTTTTGATAAACGTGATGACTTTAACCTTTCAATCGTCAACTTCTCTTACTTATGCAGCAATATTTACATTTCCAATGTCTTTGTCCGAGATAAAATTACAAATTGTAAATATACTTTATTTCTACATAAATCTACTGGTTCATCGATAGGCGCGGTTAAAAAAAATCACGTGCGGGGCGGGACAAATAGAGATAAAAGCGGGACTATTAGCACGGGAATTTGCAGAATCAGGAGCATGTAAATATAAGGAATAACTGTCAGATTTTTAGGATTCATGACGATGATCAATCGATTGGCTTGCGTGATAATTTTATGCATAAACGCCTTCGGCGTTTATGCAAATTATCACGCAAGCCACTCAATTGATCACATCATGATTCCAAAAAATTAGACAGTTATTCCTTATATAAATCCTTATCACCTGCATATTGGGTGTATATCTCTCAATTGATTCGATGCGCAAGAGTATGTTCTGCGTATGAACAATTTCTAAAACGAGGTAAGTTATTGACAAACAAATTGATTATTAAACAAGAATATCAACAGTCTCGTTTAAAAGCCATCATTTTGTTAGTTCTATAGTCGATACAATGGTCATGTCAGCAAATACAATCTATCATTAAGTCATATGCTGACTGACTTTTTTCATACTAATTGTTAGGCCATTATTTACTCACTGAATTGCCGAGGGATTTTTCCGTTATTTACAGATCATGACAAGGAGCACACGGCGGGTGTCTCCGGTCGGCAAGGGGTGCTCACTCCTCCATAGCACCTGATCCTGGCACTCTGATGTTTTTGGAGGTCTGTGTTTGTTTTGTTCCCGATTTGTATTGTTTTAATGGACTTTGAGCTTGAATACTGTTCGTCATTTCCATATTCATACCCTTGCAACAGTATTTTGAAAGTTGTGCATTTATTATTCTTGAATAAATAAAACTTTGTCCTCATTACGTCGTTGTGGATGATACATCCAAGTCATCAACATGGGTCATTTAAATTAAGTCGTTTCAACTTAAATCTGCGTTACTACATTACAATATAAAAAAACTGGTCAAATTTAATTATTGAAAACTATACTTTATTTTCCATTATATCGTCATGAAACTCTATACAATGTTATATCCTTATAAATGCCTTATTAATTTGAGATCTAAGTACATGTAACTAGGAGATCCAACTTAAATGATTTTAAAAAAAATTACTCATAAAAATCAATAATTATTCTTAATTTATACAGACATTATCTCTTTTTGAAATTTGTTATTCTATTACATTTCAATATATTATTATAAAATCAAGTGTATAACAGTCATTCCAGGATGCACACACAGTTATTTCGTGCAGTGAAATGTTTTATGCTTGTCCCAAATTATTTATGTGACAAATATAGCAAATATATTGTGAAAATTTAGAAAAAATAACCCCAAATTTAGCTAAAAGTTAACACTATTAAAGTTATATTTAAAAAAAAAAACATCTCAGACCCTAACTTTTAATTTTTCTTTTTGAATACATGTATATTAGATAATTTTAACCACTCTGTTGAAATTCAGCAAAATCGTAATTTTAAAAAAAAAAAAAAAGAAGATTTTTTTTGTAATGCTATAAAAATGGCATTTTTTTGAGTGTAGAAAGGTCAAATAATTGACTATTTGAAGTAATTTGAATCTTTTTTCGTTGTTACAAGTTTTAATGTTTTAATTTTCAAGATAAAATAAGGTTGTATTTGGTCTCATAATTTATTTATATAAAAAATATTGGGGGAAAACATGTATGTTTGGCGTAATACGAGTGCAAAAGGTCATATCAAATGCTCCAAAGCGCCAAGAGAAGCACACTGACCCCCGTTTTTTCTTTTGATGTTTCAATAAACTATTTGTGTAAATTCTAAAAATATTCTTGATAAAAATTTCTTAATACTTTTGATAGCAGGATCCAACCAACCAGACCAATCTCGACACACAGTAAAATTATGGAATTTAACGTGCCAGGAAGTTTCCTTATGAATATGACTAATTGTAACCTTGCTGTTCTTGAGAACAATCTTTTAAAAGGATTTTTCCTATAAAATCCAAACATTTACCCCTTTAGTGTCTCCTTCTAGCTCGGGGGGATGGCTTGAGGATCTTGAATGTACACTTAATTATATTTTGTTTGTTTAAAAATCTGCCTTGTGACTCAGAAGAAGAAGGCAAAAAATGTGAAAAAACCCAGACAACCGGTTACTAGACAGAGAGAAAGACAACCTTTGCATGCCCCAGGTTCCAAAACGAAGCAAGCTATTGACAAACAAGTTGAGGAAAAAAGGATATTAACAGTTTCCTTTAAAGTCATCATTTCGCCAGTTTTATGGTCGATACGATGACCTTGTCAGCAAATGCATTCTATTATTAAGTGCTGACTGACGTTTTTCATACTAATTGTTAGGCCATTATTTAAAGACTGAATTGTCCACGGATTTTTCAATGCCCGATTATGACAATGAGCACACGGAGGGTGTGACCGGTCGACAGGGAATCCTTACTACTCTAGTGCACCTGATCCATCGTCTGATGTTTTTTAGAGGTCTGAGTTTACTCTGCTCCCGATTTGTATTGTTTCAATGGACTTTTAATGAATGTTTTAAGTTTATTGTGAGTCATTGGTGTGTACATCACACAGACTTGTCACGTAGGTATATTTCATGAAGAGCGCTAGCGCTTCATAAAAAATAAGCCTACGTGACAAGTCTGTATAATTTACACACCAATAATTCACACTTAACTTAAAAATTCATTTTATCTACATTTTACATGTTTAAATGCACCAAAAATATATTCAATGTTTGAATTTCTCGCTACCCTATATCGTCATATTTTTATTAACGTCTCTGTAGCCTGATTGTGTCGTAACTTTAGCGCCAGTTTCTCCGTGTATATTTCTACGCATGAGTATACACAAAAATGGCTTTCAAATCAATTTCTCAGTTGGCTTAGTAGGAAAGCACAGCAAATGTAAACATTTGGGCTTCATTACTGTTCGTTATATTCATATTTCATATGATCAGATATAATCCCACTTAAGTCTTTTGCTTACCTGAGCTATACAAAACTAATATACCCAAAGAACATTACATATCCTAACAATTTCTGTCTTTTGATCGTACAAAAAGATGTAATCTGTACATGATTAGTGCGAATGTTCAATGAATTGTCTTGGAATACTCGAGAAAGATCTCTTAATCACTCTGTTAATACTATATTTTGTCTCTGTAGATCATTAAAACATGAAACACATGATAAATTCTTTTTTAAGGTCTTTCAGTAGGAACAGAAACGGAGCAACCATTTTCTTTAGTTAGAGAACTATTTTTTTAAAGACAGCAGACGATCGATGCCTTCTATGCCTTTGCAACAATTATTACGTACTTAATAATTAGTCCCCCAAATTTCACATTTACGTATAAATTTATTGCTGTAAATGACATATTTAAATGTTTCATTGTTCAGCTACATATAAATATAATGCAACAAACAATGATAATTTCATTTTCATTAAACTTATCAATTTCTGTGTTTTTACAAGGAGCAACAGGTTGGTATTGCCAAATTATAATTGATATCTACGAAGCCCTATCAAGAGACATGAAATATTTAAAATTTTGCAATACAAGAATCAATTGTACGCATTTTTTTTAGCTTATTTATATTGATGTTTTATCAGAAGTAACTGATTATTCCTGAGGGATGCAAGTCGTTCGAAGAATTTAACGAAAATTAATCCACAAATGTTAAAAATTACAATATTTGAATTTTGTTTAATTCAGACTTGCAAGATTTATGAGAAGACATGAATAGACAGCTGCTAAAACTAGATTAAAGGTCACACATTCAAGTAGGAAATGTCAATGCATATGGATAGATGGTGTTTGTTTACTGACTAAAATGACCTAATGATGTTGGATGTGTAGAGTCTCATAGAAACTTATCAATGGGGTGATTATTAATAATACGAAAAAAAAAATGTTTAAAAACTCGCCTCTTACCGAATCTGGATTCCATTTTCCTGTCTGAAAAAAAATCAATCAGTGACATTGAAATTGAAAGATAATTTTGAACTGGTTTTCCTTCATGTTAATTGTTTTCTTACTTAAAATGTGTAAAAAAAATCTGATATATCTTATTATCATGACAGAATTTATTAATGCAAGTGAATATTCCTGTTATTCTTTGTTTATCTAAAGATTTTTATAACCTTTTAACAGAGTGATGTTTTCCTTTTCTCATAGACACCCTAATTAGATTGAAGCTTGTATTTAATTCATCTTGCAAAATTCGTTGATGTTCAGAATCTAATACATTATACATTGATTTAAAAAAATTTCAAAACGTGTTATTTCAAACATGTCAAAAGCCGAGATTTGGAGACCCTACGTTTTCCTCGGATAAGAGGTGTGGCAAAGTTTTGAATGCGATAGTACCTCTAGGCATGGGCGATCGTGAAAAACGCTAATCCTAATACAACTAGAGTTTTCAAGGAACGAGTGTTTGCCATCACTAAAAATGTAAATAAATCGGATTGGTCAGCTATTCATTTACTGCTAGAATTTTAGTTAATGCATTTGCTAGCAAAGAAATAAAAACTTTACGGATAGAATAACATTATATGAAATGTGACAATTAAATAAAAATATGATTTCTCTGAAACGAATGAAGAAATTGAAATTATTAGAAATAATTATTAACCAACGACCCCCTAGATTCATAACTAAAGAGAGAATTCAGTCAGCTGTGTTTGGGGGCCCTTTTTCAGAAAGTATGGGTATAACTACAGAGAAGCACGGTATTATAAAATATTTTGGGGTATTCCCCTACTTGTACGTCTTTTCTATCAATCAAGCAATTCTTTCCCTCTTATGTATATGTATGTTGTATTTCGTGTGTTTGATCATAATCATTATATACATTTTAACAATGTACTTTCTTTTTGCCCCATGAGGGCCCTTAATTGGTCAATAAACGAATTGAATTGAATTGAATTGAATATAGTAAGAATTTTTCCCAATAGTCAGCTCTTACCCAGAAATCTGTACTCTAGAGAACTACTGGAATTCTCCCAAGGAGAACAGGGTTGGCCGGGAAATACCGGTGGTGGGAATTACAAGTGGTAAATACCGGTATTTCCCGTCCCGGAAATACTACTGATTTCCTCTAATCTGGGAAATACTGGGAAATACAAAATTAAAATCTTTATTTGTTTGATTTATTCAATGTTAAACATCTACATGTGTTTAAGAATTAAAATACAGACAGTTAGCATAAAAACACAATTCCACAGAATTATATATCTAGTCAGTTCAGTGTCATTATTATTTATCTCAAATTTACCACTCCAGGCCTTCTTTTCCCCTTAACATCCTGTAACAAAAAACAAGTTTTCCTGCCTTGTCCACCCCACGTTTGTTTCCTAGCTTGGTCTGAATTATGGCAAAATTAGAAAAAAAATTCTCTATTGAGACAGAGCTGACTGGCATCTGCATCAATTTCTGTGCGTATTTGCAAATATTTTCTTGATATAATTTTGTCCTGTCGGCACAGATCCACCATACCCCTGGTTTAATAGTGTTCAGAGCTTTCTGATCTTGAAGAGTTTTTGGCAGTTTCATAGTTTCTGATAACAAAATGAAAAAGTCTGGTGCGAGTTCTGGGTGGGATTCCATCAACATATCCCGGGCTTCACTTATGTGACATGGTTTCAGATTCTTGCCTTTGAAAAGAGGATGCATAATATTGGCCAGAAATATTGACTTGGAGTCATGGCTTGCTAAAATCTTTTTTCAACTTTGTCTTTGTATGGCTCTAAGTTCTTGGAAAGGAGTCAACTCAACCACACTTCACAAGCATCTGCAATGGAGATGACATCACCATGTAACCTATTCAAAGCATCTGCAATGGGCTCCAGCTGTGTATAAAAGTGTTTTGCCTCACTGAAATGTCCAACATTATGGATAATATTTCTGATTCGTGACTCAATGATGTCTTCATTTTGTGCTGCGATCATGAGCATGTATAGTCTGTTTCGGATATATGTGTCTATGCATCTGAGTTGGCTATTCCAACGAGTATCCAATGGTAATTATGGTTTCACAGAGCTAGGTATTTCACTAAGAAGTGCCCCAGAAATATGATGATTGGATTGATTGTTTTAGTGAAGGCAGGAAGATGGTTAAAAATGATGTTTGTTCTTGCTCAGTGAAAGTAAGCTGGGGAAGAGATGTGTCCTTAGTTGAGCAATTTATTATAAAAGATCGTCAAGTTACAGATAGAAATAAAGTTGATTATTTTAAGAATATTATAATCATTAATACTGGGAAAAGATATTCTTATCAACCCATTCTATTGACGAGATTTGCCATTTATGACAAATGGACAATTCTTGTTTCAAAAAATATATTGCATGGTCAGAAATATAAGACTTGGAAAAATCCTTTAGCTTCTGTGAACAGAATGCTACGAAGCCTGTCACGTGACCACCTGGATCACGTGATTCGCGCATGGGCAGAACGGTAGCAGATGTGCATTAAAATCACTTTAAAAAATATTAAACACCGAAATCTAATATTATTTCTTTTATGGAAGTTATTCAATTAGTTCGCGAACTTTTTGATCACCCCTCGTACATCCATACACTGTACCGTTCACGGTAGCTCAGTCGGTAGAGCGCTCGCTCCGTGATCGGGAGGTCGTGAGTTCGAATCTCGGCCGCGACAGACCTAAGTCGATAAAATATAGGTAGCAACTGTTCCTTCGCCATGCGCTCGGCACCTTGGAGTGAAAGTTGCGGGTCTTTCGGATGAGACCTTAAAAACCGAGGCCCCGTGTCACTGCAGACGTTGGCACGATAAAGATCCCTCACTGCTCAATGGCCCTGAGTGCCGAGTAAAGGTCAAAATTTGAAGCCCTTCACCGGTATATGGTGACGTCTCTATATGAGTGAAAAATTCTCGAATGGGACGTAAAACAATATACAATCAATCCATACACTGTAAGATTCTTATCAACCTCTTGAACATTTTCCCTCATTACCTGCATTTTTTTTTTTCATTGTCAGTCACAAGCCAAATCACTTGGCTCTCAAATAGTTCAGTTGCTTGTGCTTTAGCTTCAAGAGCAATACTTGTACAATACTGGACATATTTTTTGTTAGTTCAAGTGTTTACAGCTGACAAGAAACAAGAATTTCCATCACAATGAATACTACTAGCTATCACAGGAGTATAATGAATATCACTCCATCCATCTTGAACTAAGACAACATTTTCCCTTGTATTTCACTTTTCATATTTGTTTTCAGTTTATCATGAACCTGATCTAAGAGGGGACCAGAAATATCTTTTTTAGATGGTGGGCTATATCCTGGTCTAAGCATTTCAATTATTTCCCTGAGTATGGGGTTGTCTGCAATGTTAAAGGCCAAATTATACGAAAAAAATAGTTTGGCTATCTGCTCGTCTAATTTACTTTTCATGGCAGAATCTGTTTGAATCCCATAATCATTAAGATTTCGTTGACGTAGCATTTGCCTTTTAGGGGTTGAATTTGCCAGACTGGTGTCATCATCTATGCCATCACTTTCTGTTAAACAAAATTGATATTTTCAAAAATTGGAGTTTTTTTTCTTTATAGGATATTTTACAGATTTTTTTAATCATTCAAAGCAACCAATAAACTTAAATACTTTAATAATCACTCTAGGTGTTACGAACATCAATCAAACGTGTTGTTTTAACGAAATGACTCTTGATAGGGTGTGTTCCCATTTTGCACACATTTGATAATTAGGTATAGAACAATAGGTGTGAAATATGTTTTGATTTCAATTTTAGTCTGATCTCCGTCTGGAATTTACCTGGAATTGCCTGTATTTTACCAATGCATTATAATTTAAGTTTAAAAGAATAAAATTTAATTTGTCCAACCCAACTGAATATGAAGTTAGACAAACATCCTTATCGCAGTTCACCCTTTCTTTTTTTTTTAACTTCATAAAGAGAAAAATGAATGAGTAAATGAATTCATTCTTGATTAATAAAAGAAAGAGAGTGAGAGACAGAGATAATCATATGAATAAATTATAGTTTTGCTTAGTATTTATGATATTTTTTATGTTTTAAAATAGTTTTTTTCTTATAAATTCAAAATTAATTATTTTTTATTTCCATAGATTCTCTTTCTCCAAATTCCCAACTATTATATAGACTATAACAATTAAGTAATTATCTTACCTGGATAAATTCCCGTTTTGCACACATTTTTTTCAATACATAAAATTCAAATGTGTGCAAAACGGGAACAAACCCTTGATAGGTATGTGCTCCTGTTTTGAGGAGATAATACCTTGAGTAGAGCTAAATGGCCTCTTCTTAGGTGTGTTGCACACAGGTGTAAGTGACACAGTCACAGGTATTGATTCACTGTCACTCTCAATTGTCCCACAAAACTGGTTAGTCTTAAGATTTAATTTATCACATTTTTTCTTTGTGATTTTTTAATCGGTCACTTTTTCCACTGACATTCTCACCACAATCTTTACATTTCACGATTTTCTTGGCCCTTTCTTCACATACATCAAAGAAACCCCGAATTGGATCTTTGGATTTCATGTTTATGGCTACTGTATAGACTACACCTCTACCTGACTCAAGTCTTGAAACAAATGACACTGGTGTATGAGTGAACTTTTGTAAGGAAATGTCTAAGGCATTACTGGGTATCCAAAACTTGTTTAAATCAAAGACAATGATTAAATATCATAGCTAACTAGGTGTACTACTGTTTACATCCCAACAGATATGATTAAAATCATGAAGCATGTAGCTGTACTTTATTTACCAGTATTTCCCGGGAAATACCAGACGAGTATTTCCCACCGTCCTGGGAAATACGAGTATTTCCCACTTTTTTCTCAACCCTGAAGGAGAAATCTTGCCCTAGTGTCAAATTACCCAGTATTGCATTTCGTCCTATCTTATAAATTAAGACTTACAAATTGTATAAGTAAAATCCAGGGTCAATTTATACTATACATGTATCAACAATTTTAGGCTTTAAATTCATATGAAAGTTAACTGATTTTTAAATGGAAAATGGGTCATGACGAAAAGATTGTTCGATATTTTAAATCATTGAGTCTCAACCATAAATTCCAGATAAAGAAGTAAAATCATACTCAGTGCTTTAAACCTCTCATGGCGCATTAGTAGGTATATTTACTAATCTTAAAAACATATCGGTCCACCTGATTAAAGATGTGTATCAGGCCGTCTTTAAACATTTAATTTGTTTGCCCTCTACCAACCCAGCATTTTTACATATTAACATATGTTTTTTGATAAACAATGGCTATATAAATATGCATGTAAAGAACTTAGATTATTTCTCATCTGACAATTTATATAATATTGTCATTCTCCAAAACGAAAAAGTTATTTACTCTCAACACATATTTGAAATCGCAATATTGTTGAATGAGAGAAATTCAAAATACACTAATTTAAAAGCTCGTCTTATATATGTTACATTAAAAGTTTAAAATTTATCAAATTAAACTTATCTATAACAATTTACCTACATATTTTGCTGTTACCTCACATCAACAATATTACACCACATTTACTGTTGCTGAAATTGAATCATGCCAACATGACTCCTACATAGATTGTACACTTAACAAAGCACTCACTCCAGTAACATCACCATCTTGGATTATTGGTCTTTTTGCAAACAATAAAAAGTGGATCCAAACCTTTTGCAGTTTTAGATTTTTGCAAGATGTATCGAAATCTGAAATTATTGAACTCTCAAGTACTTCTGTTTTGGCTTATAATAGTTGGAATATCGACATGAATTATCCGAACAAGCAAGAAATCTTACCAGGGTGTAAATTTTGTATTTTGCATGTCCCATGCAGGTGCACTTTAACTACCAAAGATCTGTTTTATTCCCCAAAACTTGGAAATTGTCATAAATCTTTAGATAATATTACCATAGCACATCCTGTAAACTTGGCACTTCTTCAGGAATTTTTCACTGCTTCAAAATTAAAATCTATTTAAGGTGACACTACGTTTTTTGAGCCAATTCAAGTCAATCTACCGGAATTCAAAATGTATACTCATTCCAATCAATTTTTGGCTGCAGATCAAAAAGCTCATCTAAATTTAACAAAAATGGTTCAAGTTGCTAAGAAAGATCAAGTAGTTTTCAACTCTCTAGCAGAACCCTTACTTGAAGGCAAAATAAGAATTAACTCTTCTTGGCCTAACGTTAATGACATTTTAGACCTTGTTGCTATTGGACTTGCACTATTAGCTATTTTTGGTGTTATTTTTACATTTTTGAAAGTTCGAAAATTACTAGCCATTATTGCTGTTTTACAACAAACACATAAGGTCAAATCAGAGTCTGAACTTCCCTCATTCATTTACAACCCTGTCCAATCAACTACCTCCCCATATTCTGATTTTGAATTATTGTTAAAAGATTTTTCATGGAATCATGCATCTGTTTTATTATCATCTATTGTGATATTCATTTTATTTTTTCTTTCTGCATATTTCTGGTTTTCGAAAAGAAAATTAAAATATACTCAGGTTATTTTTGAAATTTCAACAGGTGGTGAATGTGTCCTTATCCCTGTTTTAACATTGTCATTATGTCCATCTTTTTGGAAAATTGTTCCACCTTCTCAAATTCATGATATCTCTGTGAATTTTTCTTTATTTTCATCAAAGATGCATATTGATTGGACTGATTTTTGTGTTATAAATTTGAAAGGTACTAGAACAGTCAATGTTAAACCTGAAATAAAACTAAATTTTTACACTGCTTATAAAGCAAAAAGAATTACAGAACAACCTTTTGATGTCCACATTTTAATTTCTCATCATGGGTTATATCAACCATTACCACATTTTGGTTCCTTTATTGTTGATGATGTAAATTTTAAAGAACATTTCCCATAAATGTCAATTTTGACTTTAAATTTGTTAGATTGAGCTTCATTGTCATTGTCACATTGAATACATAGCATCAATGTTATTTCTAGATATCTGCCATTCTTGAAGACATTTCATTATTAGAAAAATAACAAAACAGCTATTTCTTATATATGCGCACCTGTAAATATGTTATCCTACTTGTACATACTAGAGTTTTTTTTTCTTCCCATTATCAATTTGGTCACATACCTGTTTAATTTGTATTTTGCTTTACATGTATGTATCTATAATAAGAAAATAAATATATGTATTAAAAAAAAAAAAAAAAAAAAAAAAAAAAAAAATTAATTCACTTTCTGAGTATTTTCCACAATGTGTTCATTTAGTGATGTTCTCTGACTACTGTATTTGCATATGTTTGTATATTTCTTTATATTTTTGTGTTCTGTGTGCATATTGTTTCATATGACAATCCTGCTTTAATTGTAAGTTTGTATATATTATTATATGTTGTCAGTAAAATCCACATTTCTTTTGCTTTGGTGGACCAAAGCTTCCTTTGGCAAGGGGGAGGATTGTTATAGATAAGTTTAAATTGATAAATTTTAAACTTTTAATGTAACAGGTTGTATCACATGAATTTTAATTCATGGATTTCTTTTGCTATTTTCAAAATGAAACTTTATTTTTGAATATTGATTTTAAGTCAAATTTCTCAAATTACAGGCTAGTAATTTTTATTTCTTTTGTCCATATTTACTCCTATTTTTATTGTAATTTGGCAAATAACACTTAGGTTCAAAGTCAATTTTCACCTATTTTGTAATCAATTAACTTCTCATTGGAGATCAAACATTCATGACATCTCTTAGATAAATAAGTAAATTCTTTCCTTTTTCGGCTTCTTTGGAAATAAATTCTTTTCGGAATTAGTTTGACACTGCGAAATTTTGCTCAGTATTTACATGCTTTTGGCTAAATGTAATCTTTCCTTTGTTATGAAACTCTTCTACGGTAATACAGGTAACTGACTCCTCACACCTTTCACTTTTTGTTAATCCGAGTAATCAGTGTCAACTACATCAAAGAAGAATTGCCGAAATTGGCCTAACTCTTTTATAACAAGCTACCTGATTGGTTAATGAAACAAGTCCGGTACTGTGCCTCGGTGAAAAGTGAATGTAACAAATTCACTTTCTACCGAGAGCTCTATCAATAAAGATCTATTTGTGTTAAATCGGACTTTGTTTCCATTTTTCCAATTAGGTAAGCTTGAATTACTTTTTGACAATATTTATCAAATTAAAAAGTTTTTTTTCTCTCATAATCAGTAAAGTTTTGATTCTGATTTTTCTTTATATTTTTGATAGCTCATTTTATTTTTTATTTTAAATAATTAGTGTGAAGTTCATAAATTTCATTTAACATTGTAGCTGTAGAATAATGTTACCTTTATTACGTAATGTTGAATTATTTTTATATTAACTTTAAAATATCTTGATATCTTTATTTTTGGTTTTGTTCTAAATTCTTTTAAACGAATTAACTGAATGATATTTTGTACGAATTGAATTGTACCGCCTTAATTTAAACGGAGCTCTCTAGTCTGAGAAATTAGTTAAGCTCGATCAAATATAAACAAGGTTTCTCACAACGGTTAAATTAGTGTGTTTTGTTTTAGTATTTCAGTTTATCAAATCTAATGGAATTTATTATAGTAAGCGCTATGCATTATATAACTACTTATACATGCTAATTACATCGTTCTCAGACTAGATTCCGTGATTGATTTGTCAATGTTTTGTTTTAAAGGTGCTTGGACACAGATTTGAAGTTAATATTTTCTCAAATTTTCTGTAAAATTTCATGACTTATATGTTGCTATAGCATTTCATACTAAAATATAATAAAAATCCTATTTCATCTCGTAGTTATTGAAACTTCAAATTTCTGAACGCGTTTGATTGACACGTCCTTACACTTTAACAAATTTTAATTTTATTCTTAATACTTAAGAAAAGTGGCAATTCTGTTGTGTATTAATGAAAAATATAAAAACTATAATCCAGAAAATTCAGAGTATAGAAATGTTCGAAAGCAAAACCCACTCAAGTATTGTCAGTCCGTGCTCAGTGGTGTGTGCAGACTTTAACAATTGAACACACCCGGTGAATCGTAAACATTAACAATAACAGAGCTCGTGCCCTGTTTACAAAAACAGTTTACGTTTCACGGGTGTATTCAATTTGTTAAACTCTGTACACAACACTGAGCACGGGCTGACGATATTAGTGAGGGGATTTGCTTTTGCACATTTCTACTCTGAATTTTCTGGATTATAGATGTAATGTTTTTCATTAATACACAACAAAATCGCTTCTTTTCTTAAATGTTAGGGATAAAGATAAAATTTGTGAAAGTGCAAGGATGTGTAAATCAAACGCGTCCAGGAATTAGTTCCAATAATTACCAGATAAAATAAGTTTTTAATTATATTTTCGTGTGAAATGGTATTGCAATATATAAGTCGTGATATTATACAGAAAATTTGAGAAAATATTAACTTCAAATCTGTGTCTAAGCACCTTTAATTGTATGTTCTCATACTTTCTACCGAGAGCTCTATCAATAAAGATCTATTTGTGTTAAATCGGACTTTGTTTCCATTTTTCCAATTAGATATTCCTGTAGAAGCCGATTAGCAGTTGCAGTACTCCCAGAGTTAATTCCCCGAATTCACCATTCAGTATCACGAAGGAATTTATTCCAGTGTGACAAATTTAATGTGTGAAATATACAAGAAGCAAAATATCTTGATGTCATTCTGAATTCTATTACAATGGCTTGAATGACTGCATAATTTTTTATGAAATGTGCGTTATATTAACATTTATGTATAGTCTGAGAACAATTTTGGAAATTTCATTTTAACACTTTTTTTTGCAAAGCCATATTTTAAATCAGTTAATATAGTACTTGCCTTTTCCCCGCTTTCGAAAAACCTTGGTGGGCATTGTCCTGCACTGCTCTCACTCACTTCTTCCTTGGATGTCCTTTTCAAGAAGATAAACATCAATTATAAAATGAGTTCTCTAACAAAAAAGTACTATAGATGCAACTACCAACTTAAAAAAAAAATATTATGTGGCTAAGACGCTTCCGTAAAAAGGAGCCTATCAGTAACATTTCCGTGATCTTTCAATTACAATTCAGTCGAGTGAAACGCTGATACATTTCAGTGGCATTTAAGTTATATTTCACTTGTAATTTTTATTAAATAATCTGCTTATTTTTAACTTACGTTTTTCACATTTTTTTCTGTTATTAGTATCAAATTCAGCTATTTTCGAATCTTTAAAAAAAAAAAAATGAATAAAAGTGAATATAAAACAAATCCGTGACAAATTCTAGGTTCGAACCTTATCCATTAAGGCGCTGCCACTTTTCTATGAATAATAATGCCGATTAATATTAATAAATGTGTAGAAATCGAATTGGGACACATATAACCTATTAGCGAGGAGCTTGGCGAGTATATACATGTATCTTGTATACATCTTTGCGCAGATTTTGGTGCAGACTAATAATTACAAGCCTCTTGTCGGGATAATGACATCAGCGACGGACACAAGCTTTGGGCTTGGATATAGATCTGATGTTCATATTTTCATAAATTTCCGGTATAATATTATGACTTACAAATATCTAGAGCATTTCAGACCGAAGTATTATACATGTATAAGTGCACTTACGAAATCCTGTTATCTGAAAAGTGTTATAACTACGCTTTTCAGGATGCATTTGACTGACACACATACTTGTACCTTCACCAAGTATATATTAACTATTCTTTTCATTTCAGAAGAGTGGAATATTTATTGGGTATTAATGAAAACCAAAGAAACTATAATTCAAAAACTCAGAGTAGAAATGTTAGAAAGCAAAACAAACACACCATAAATCTTCACACAGGGACCTTTATACTAATAGGTCCCTGCTTCACCTTGTTGTAAATACAACACTCTGAAAAATTATATATTAATTAATTTTAAAATGATTTTTTTTAATCCAAATATCATTTGATTTCATCAAGAGGTATGAATAATTAATTTTGTCTCTGCTTCTACTCTGAGAAATTCCATGTAAACTAACTGCATTAGATGGACAAATTAAACTAGATTGAATAAGCTTGTTAAAATATTTATCACATTTAGTGATTTTACAGAGAGAAAGAGAAAAAGCGCAAGTTCTTTGACGAATATAGAATCATTGTATTTTTCGTTTAAAGAATTTTCCTTTTCTAAATCTATTTTGTTCATCGAATTAGAAATTCTTAAATAATTTTAATTTCAATTTCTATGTGTCCACAGTTGAACTGTAATATTTAAAATTATTATCTATTATTATATTTAGACAAATATTTTATGGTCTATTGTCGCAGTTAAAAAAATTTGTAAACAATTAAGCGTAATTGAATATCTAGCCATTGCCAGTTCACCATATAAAGTTCTATCTGTTTACTAGTATTCCTACTATACATACAATAAGAATAACACAAAACATTTTTAAGATATAGATTCATGTAATTCAATAAATTGTTAAGAAACGGTTACTTTTATACCAATGAAAAGCCGATAAAAAGTTTTTGAATGTCACAACTGAAAATTAACTGTAAGATCATTGAAAGGTGATGGAAAGGGCACAGCGATAACTGAAATGTGTCTGCTGAGTGATGACTGAATTGTGCCTGAATTATAGATGAAAGGTTAATGAAAGGTCACTGAAATGTACCTGCCATTCAGTGACTGAATGGACACTGAAAAGTCACAGAAAGCAACTTTTCAGTTTTAAGGTCAGATGACACGTTCCTCAAAAATATTTAATTTTCCCCAGGAATTTGTCATTGAAGTATTACTCCTTTAAGAAGTTTCCTCACAAAAAATTGAGGTACATTACCAGGGATTTGTGCAAGATACCAGAGGAGGATTTTTCTTATACAACCCTAGTGGATATCACTTGAATTGCTCATATCACAGTTTTTGATGGTTATATTTTTGAAATACAATATTTTTGAATTCAAAATAAATTTTGAAAACAGTTCAGAAATAGCAAGATAATAATAATTGAAAAGATTTTTGGTATGTTACGAAGAGAAGCAAAATCAGATATTCGAGGAACGTGCCATAAGACCTTGACTAAAAGGTCTTATTTCTTCCTGTTTAAGATTTACTTTCACTTAAATCAGACAGAAACTAGTATTCCATCGGAAAATGAGATATAGTTCTGTTTATTCTACTTGTCTGTTCAATATGAGGCGCCGTTTTAGTATTTATTGCCATTTAGTGATATCACCTATTCGAAAAGGTGATATCACCTATACGAATAGGTGATATCACCGATTCGAATAAATGATATCACTCATTCAAATTGAATAGGTGATATCACCTATTGGAATAGGTGATATCACTTATTCGAATAGGTGATATCACTTATTTGAATAGGTGATATCACCTATTGGAAATGAATGGGTGCTGAATAGGTGATATCACCTATTCGAATAGGTTATATCACCAATTCGAATAGGTTATATTACCTATTTGCATTTCTTACAACAATAAATAATGAATGCTCCCTTCCTCAAGACTATCTACGCAAGTGATTTAAGGCTAGGTATAGGCGTTTCTATGCAAATGAGCTAATAAAAATGCAAAATAGGTATATTTATTATACAGAGAAAGCTTAAATTCATTTTCTTATACTTACTTAGTTCCCAAGGCATGTTATACCTAATGCACATTATGACGTCACATTATGACGTCATTGTTCTTTAGTACTCAAAGTGATAAAACACATCAACAAACGGCTTTGGCGCAAGGGCATACCCTATTTAATTTTAAGTAAATAATTTATAATAAAGCGAAGTATATTCTAAAGATTAATAAAAGTGCTGCACAAATCCTATGCACTTTCTCGTTTGATAAAAATTTGAGGAAACTTACGCTGGACTGTGAATTTTTACTCCGTTTCAACTCAAAACTTTACAAATAATAACTAAACAATTGATCTGTCGACATTTGTGCAGCAATATCACAAATCCTTGGAATATTCTGCTTCTAATTAGACCCTGTTTCTGTAAAAATAAATAGGGTATGCCCTTGCGCCGAAGCTTTTTTGTTGATGTTCTTTATAACTTTGTGTAGTAGAGAGCAATGACGTCATAATATGACGTCATAATGTGTACTGGCTATCACTTGTCGCGGGTACCAAGTTTGCATTAGAAAATAAGTTTTAACCTTTTCTGTTTAATAAGTATAGCCTTTATGTGTTTTAATTAGTTCATTTTCATAGAAATGTCTATACTTAGCCTTAACTCACTTGCGTAGATTTCCACTGGAACCAAGCAAATTCGGACTGCCCCATTTTCCCCTGCAATTGAGTCCGAGACATGTTATCGACCCCTGTAAAGTTATATAAATTTTATAAATTATACCAAGCTGAGGTATAGCAGAGTGGCATACATTTCTCTCTTTATTATGTAAAGTGGGGCATTTTCCGTATAGTATACATTATAGATAAGTGTAATAAATATAGTTTGTGAGCAAATCCAACTACACATTCTACTGGGGTGCTTAAAACTAAATGCGAAGCTGTAATCCATTGTCTCCAAGAACGGTAAGTTATAAAACGAAAGTGAAAGTAAATGAGAATTAAAGGTTATAGTCTTGGGAGCAATTGTTATTTCATTAATATTTTGAATAAGTGATATCATCTATTCAAAATGATTAAGTGATATCACCTATTCGAATAGGTGATACCACCTATTCAAATCAAATAGGTGATATCACTTATTCGAATAGGTGATATCACCTATTCGAATAGGTGATATCACTTATTCGAATAGGAGATATCACCAATTGAATAGGTGATATCACTTTTTGGCAGTAAACGTCGCCTCATAGTTCAACGTCATTCTGTGAATATATTAGGGATTCATGGTTGTAAGGGGTTATTATGAGATCTTAAAGAAATGCCAACAGCCTAAATCTACATTAATATTGTACATGTAGGTAATTGATTGATTTTCAGGGGAGGTAATTGTATTGTATAGGATTGATTTTTTTAAACTCAGTTCATCTTTAATAAAGAAGTACAAACCTCGAAGTATTTGCAAATGATCCGCTTGAATCAGTATCACATTTACTGTCAGGAAGGATTCTTTCCTGTGAGGTTGAGGCCTAAAGGATATAAAAATGAAAATTTTACGATTTTTACTTTTCTGCTTCAAATCAACAGAATATTGTAAATTGAAGGAAAAAAAACAAACAAAAGTTTGACAACATGGAAAGAACTTTGAACAATGACCTATATATTAGTTTGTTAAGTAGTTCATTATAAAGTGCATTTGTTTTAAATTAATTACACTGTATTTGTATCGATAACGATCCTTTGTAAAACTAGCACCTTACATGTACTACACGATCCTCTGTGAATCTAGCACCTTTCATGTACATGTAGTAACGTATCTCACTTCCTTTCTCGGTGTAGTTTACATGTGTAATTGAGTATGAAAATTCTCTTAAAAGCCCTGTTACAATGTACCCCCACCAACCACTCTTTGTTGCAGTATACCCCCCCCCCCCCCCGATAATCTATTCCAAAACGTTTACTTGTCAGAAAAGAATCTAACCCTAACCCCCTCCCCCGTTTATATTAAATGAAAAGAACACATTAAATAAACAGATAATTGCTTCGTAATTCTTATCCTATTAATTTTTTTTCTATTAATTAGGACAACTATGTTAGTGCTCTGTTTTGGTGCATAATGTTTGCGTTTATTAGAAGACCTGACACAATCTTTGTTAACCATGCTGACATGGGTTACCTTTACTACAGTATGCATAGTTTAACCAAGGAATGAAATTTGGCACACTTATAATGCTTTGTATTTATATCACATCTGGAAATTTGCTCATTAATTATTGTATGGGTGGATATTCACTATCCTTTATTGGTATTATTTCATCTACTGATGTGCATTTATGTTTAAAAAATTCTGTGATTTTCTTTCATTTGTTCGATTCGATTCATTTTGTGTTCACTTATAGGCGTATGAAAGGAAAATTACTGTAGATTCCCAAATATACGCGAGGAATTAATTATCGCGAAGTTTCGTGGGAAGCACCACTTGCGAAATAAAATTACTCGCTTTTATTTTTATGATGCTGAAATACATGTAAAATCTCTAGATTAACGTCTACTAGCGAATTATTGTTCTCGCGATTTGACGGCTCTGGGCCATTTCGCCATAAAGTAATCGCGTAAAATAAGGAATCTACAGTAGTGTATGTCATTGGAAAATGGACAGCATCAGTAAATTTTTCAGTGTAAACTCGTAACTGTAAATTTTTTTTAATGTGATCGGAAACTTTTTTCTGTGTTCTCTGCAAATTATAATATACAAGGAGTTTGCAGTACTGTTTGCCGGTTGTATTTTTTTTTTTTTTTTTTTTTTTTTTTTTTGTTTAACGTCCCTCTCGAGAATTTTCACTCATATAGAGACGCCACATCAAATCCTGGCTCCATTGCGCCACGCGGGCGACTGCAGTACTGAAGCTCTGGCGAGATTTAGTGAGACTACAGCGAGAATGTTAATGGCTAAGGTAAATTATTCATAGAAGTGTACCTAGGAAGTGACTAGCTCGTGGAGGCATGTTATGTTTCCGTTTTCACCACTGTATAGAGCAAGTGGAAATCCACTTTAATCTCTTTAGAATTCATAATCAAACTTGTTCAATAAGTATTCTTTTTGACATTTTCTGCAGATATGTATCAGAATTTCATTTTTGGACAAACATGCTTGCATAAGAGCTATGTTTTCTGGCGTCAGATGATATTTTCATGCAGAACCAGGTACCAGCGTGACTTAAAACCGACAAATCAGCTGAATGAGTTGAATTGCATTATCTGTTACTATGAATACTACAGGAATTTTACGCTTGGAACAGACCAACTCTACTCGCGATCGAAAAACACAATATTTTTCATGGATTTCAAAGAAAAACAATATGTCCATAATAAACGAGGGTTGTCCCCAAATTCTGCAGACTTATAGTCTATACAGAAACTATTGTATCTTTATGAAAATTTTAAGGGTGAATAAAATGTGTTGTTGGCAGATAAATTACGATGTTTTAACATGATCACCTGAAAACAATTCGAGTAATAAAATTTGAAATGTTAAATACCCTGATCCTCTTTCTTACTAGATGTATCATTTGAAATTAATGTTATCGTTCTCAAACACCCGAAGCAATCTCCGACGTCAAAAAAAGATAAATGTCAACTGTTCAGATTTTTGGGAAAATACACTATTACCAGAACCAAGTTCTAAAATTGTTAAAAACGATTATAGATAAAAGTGTGAAAAATCTGAATAATTATGAATACAACGAAGCATTTGTATGTCAAGTATGAATAATATTTTGAAAACACTATGTTTCTACGGTTTTTTAGTCTGTCTTCTTTAATAGAGTTTCACAGTGTCACTCTCACCCGATTATTCGGCAGGTCATTTTTTTTTTAGTTTAGGGAACCCGTTTAAGTCATTTTAATACACAACGGTCCTGAAAACATCCCCATGTTTACGAAGCATTTATGACGACTTATGCATTTTGTAGGAGGGAATCCAGGATCAAAACATTTGATCTCAGTCTAGTGCGCCGCCTTAGTCAAGCATATTTCATACATATTTTTTCTACCATCTTACTGGGCGACTTTAGAAATATGAACGCTACTGAGCTCCAATATTCGCCTAAATTATCAAAAAGCGAACTTTAAGTAGAATGTGATATTTATCCTCTATACCTTTTCCTTTTTAAAATCATGAAAATCTATCAAAAGGATCCGGAAAAACATTTTTTCATAGTGCATGTACTTAAAAGAAACAGAATGAAGCAATTCCCTGTTTACTGCCAAATTTATCTATAAACTTTTTTTTAAATTATTACGGACTAATCAAAGATTAGTTAATCATATATTTGTATATATGTATATATATATGAGCATGTACAGAAAGTTGAATATTGGCGGAGAATGAATTTAATTTTTTGAAAAAAAAATTCAAACAATAAACAAACAAAAAGATAAACATGGGAGAGAGAGAAAGAGAGATGCTCATATCCTAGTCATATTTCTTTTTATTTGATAAAAAGAAAATAATGAAATTTTCATTTGATGAAAAAAAATGATATCTATTTGATTTTTTTGTTTAAATTTTGAGATCATACACTAGCAAAATGAAGTGTTTAAAAATGGCAAAGATTTATTTTACTTTCTGAATCATTCTAATTAGTGTGATATTACATTCATTTATCATTTTGTATGCATATATAAATATACATATAAAAATGTAATAAACATAAATAATTAAAGAATAAAAAGCTGAATAACTTTCATTATCAGTCATGAATGATCGTTTTACTTTAATAACAAGTCATTAAGAAAACTTCTGAACATACCATTTCACATGACGGTATCGTGTTATGTAACTCCTCAAATGTTATACACTTTCATTTGAAATTTTGAAGAATATCATGAATCGAAATTAACTATACGTATACTGGTTTTTTCAATAACACTGTCTTTAGAATCATTGAATCGTTAAATACTCAGTAGTTGTATTGCCTTCGACCCTTCGACCCGAATGTGTCTTGCCGGTTGTAATAATGCCAATTTACAACTGGCACTGACATGATGAAGAAAATAACTATTTTTATTTTTAGTAGTGGAATGTATTTTTACCAATAGAAAGAAATGATAATTTAAATTTTAATCTCAAATAATTAATAAATTTATTCACCTCTAATTTCTAAAACACTATAAAGAAATAAATGAAATAAGCAATTGCATGTATTTGGAATGGAAAAATGAAAATATAACATATTAATTTATACAGTGAAAACTGCTCTATCGGACACCTCTGCAATCTCTTTCACAGTTATTTCCGACATTCATTTTCTTACCACTTCTACTCATTTTCATTTCCTTTTCAAAGTGCAATTCGACAACCTGTCTATTCCGACATAAAATTTGTCTCCCTATGCATTTCGAATTAGACAAGTACCTGGTATTTCCTCATTTTGCACAAAACTCGTTGCAGCTGTGCTTTTTCTGTGCTAGGATTATTTAAATCAATTTAAACAAATTAGATTCATTAAATCAGTATTAAAGTTTGAATGAAATATGTCATTTATTATAAATACCCTTTAAAAAAAAAGATGGAAAAACACCATAAGAGATCGGATAAAAAGCTGTTACACAATGCGAAATGGCATTTCATCATTTTGTTAAAAACATTCTGATTCTCCGGGGTTGATATTAAGAAGATGTTTGAGTTACTTTTTGACGATATCAATGTAACTATTGGAGAACAAGTCTTCCAATAATCTGTTGGAAATTGCATGGGTAGTAATTGTGCCCTGCTATATCAGCAGACCTGCTTTTAATTTGTATTTGTATGAAACATATTTTTTTTCAAGAGAGAGAGAGAGAGAGAGAGAGAAAAAAAGAAAGAAAGAAACATGAAAAGATTGATAGGTTGATTGTGTGTTGTTTTACGGGACGTAATAAGGAGAATTTTTCACTCATATAGAGACGTCACCATATACTGGTGAAGGTCTTCAAATTTAAACCTTTACTCGGTACTCAGGGCCGTTGAGCAGTGAGGGTTCTTTATCGTGCCAACGCCTTCCGAGACACAGGGCCTCTGTTTTTAAGGTCTCAATCGAAAGACCCACAACTTTCACGCGAAAGTGCCGAGCGCTTGGCAAAGGAACTGTTGCTACCTATTTTTTTTTTCGACTTAGGTCAGTCGCGGCCGTGATTCGAACACGAATTTCCGATCACAAAGCGAGCGAGCGCTCTAACGACTGAACTTACGTTACGGAAGGTTTTTTGCTGTGTCCTTCAATTAGATATTTAGATATATCGACAACGTTTTATCAGTTAACAATATTCATTTTCATTTTTCTTCCCTTATTTATGTAGCAATATACTATCATTATTATCATTATTTTGATAGTTACAATCACTTTTTAAATCGATGCAAGCTACTGACTTAAGTTGATGATACAAGGATTTCATCATCTTTTTCAGACAGCTTTTTGCAAATTCTACGGTTGTTATAATGTCGAAACGTAGCGTTGGGTCGTATTTTTGTCTGAGATAGGTCATTGTTATTATATTAAACTTGACCACGGAGTCTTCCGTCTACCTGATCAATGAAAATAAAACATTTCAGAAGCATTGAAAAAAAATAAAGATAAGAATTTTGAAATATCTAAACATTTTCTTGTTAATGTTGAATAAAATCAATACCTTCAGAAGCACTTAGTGTGTTTCTGCAAATGTTTTATAGCAATTTTGACCTCTGAGAAGGTTTCGTGACACCTAACAGTGTGAACCGATCTACGGAACGCTGGAAATAGTTATTAGTCTAAGGCCTGAAACTATCTTGCAAATAAAATCTCAGGTCAATATAGATA